GCTGTGTTCATCCAGCTCTACACCGTGTTATCTCTGATACCAGGAGTGCATGATTTTAGATACAAGGAAAGATTAGAGAAATTAGGCTTATTCTTCTTGCAGCAGAGTCAATTAAGAGGTGACCTTATTGAGGTGGTCAAACTTATGAACAATTTTGACATGGGTAAAGAAAAATATTCTGTTTTCACTAGTTGGTATGTAAGTAACTAGGGGTCACAATTTTAAAATCATCAGCAAGAGTGAATTGAGGAGAAACTTCTTGACTGTGAGTTGTAAGGATTTGGAATGTGCTGCCTGGGAGTATGGTGGAGGTGGATTTCATAGGAGGTTTCAAAAAAAAAGCGAGATATTTATTTGAAGAAATTGAAATTAGAAGGCTACTTAACTGCCCTCTGAAATGACCAAGCAAGCACTCGGTTCAAGGAGCAATTAGGAATGGGCAGCAAATATTGGCCTTGCCAGTGGCACCCACATTCCATCAAATAATTAATTTTTAAAAATCACAATCCTGACTGTTCCTTGATGTGGGCAAGCTTTGGGTAGTCAGGGATGTGAGTTACTCACTGCAGGATATCCAGCCTACGACCTGCTCTGTAGCCACATCCTGTTTCAGCCCCATTGAACCTATTTCTTACCAGTCCCCATTAATGGATTTTCACCAGCATTAGACTAATAACATGAATCCTCATTAATAGCTGTTCCCCCTCCTAGCCAGATTGTTATCCACTACTTTGTCCATCCCAACTGCTTTTCTGTCTCTTTGGGCTATACCCCCACCTATCATTTACTCTGTACCCCCTCACCCCATCCTATCTTCTGCATATAAACCAACATTTTCCTAGCTACCATCAATTCTGAGGGAGGGTCACTTGGCCCGAAACGTTAACTCTGATTTCCCTCCACAGACGCTGCCAGACCTGCTGAGCTTTTCCAGCAATTTCTGTTTCTATTTCTTACTGTTTTGACTTAACTTTTTTTGACTCCCTTGTCCAGTCTCTTCCCACACATTTGAAATTCATCTGATGCCCTACATCACTTCAACAATTCTCGGTTTCCTGGTCCTAACCACCACCTCTCCACTATGATCATTACAGCCCAATGCCCCACCAGGATAGTCTGAGGACTGCATGCTTTTTCCTGACATGGTGGCCCAAACAATTCTCATGCACTGCCACCCTTCTCCTGTCTAAGGTGGTTTTCTCATTGAACAATTTCACCTTTCGCTTGTCTCATTTTCACGAAGTGAGAGGGGTGACTATGGGTATTCACTCAGACCCTTGTTACACCTGCCTTTGTGGAGTGTGGAAAACATTCCTCATTCCAGTTCTCCTCAGGCATCCTCCTACAACTCTTCCTGTATGATGACACCTGTATTGATGCTGTTTCCTGTTTTGGTTCTGAACTGAAAAGAAAATAAATCAGTCTTGTTTCCAACTTCCCCTTGATCCATCTCTAATTCCTCCTTTCCATTCTTTGATTTCTCTGTCTCTGTTTCTGGGAATAGATTGTCTATTAATATTTGTTAGAAGTCTATTAACTCCCACAGCTACCTTGATAAGACTGCCTGCTTTCTGGAAGGACACCTTCCCATTCACCTGACTCCTGCATTTCTGGTGCATCTGTTCTGAAGATGCCACCTTCACAACAACATTCCTGAAATGTTTTCTTTGTTCCTCAACCAAGGACAGGTCTTTATCCAGCCTATACCCCACGCTTCTGTCCTCACCCCTTCCCCTCCCTCCCATGATCATGATAGGGTGGTGGGGGGGGTTGTCGCTCTCCCCAGCTTCCATATTTAAAGGGTCATTTTCTGTCACTTCCAGAATGAGGGTGTCAAAGACATTTTCCCCTCCCTATATTCTGAAGAGACCATTCCCTCTGCAACACCGTGGTATAAATGTCGGTTTCCACCTGATTTCGTATTCTTGCAAAATGTCCTGATGAATGCAACATTAAAAGCTTCAACAAGCTCTTTTATTCAGCAATACTCCGCAAGTTTTGTACCACCAAACAATTACCTTAAACGTCTTGAAAACATCACAACCTTCTCAGTTCCAGTAATGCAGCCATAGTTTACGTACATTGTCATTGACCAGACAAAACCCCTTCAAAATATATTTAAGATTGCCCAGACCCTAACTTTCTCCTATTTTAAAGGCAAGTGCCGAACGTTGTGTTCCGGATGCAATTTGATTGGTCAAACTACCAGACTTGAAGCAAAACATACTTTATTCGTACAGGATATTTGAAAGATGACAAAAGAAAGAAGAAATAAAAAACAGAAATTGCTGGAAAAGCTCAGCAGGTCTGGCAGCATCTGTGGAGAGAAATCAGAGTTAAGGTTTTGTATTGAGAGACCCTTCCTCAGAACATTTCACTTGACCTGAAGTGTTAACTCTGATTTCTCTCCACACATAACTTCCAGACTTGCTGAGCTTTTCCACCAATTTGTTTTTATTTCTGATTTACAGCATTCGTGGTTCTTTTGATTTTTAAAAAAAAGAACAAATTGGACTAACTTAACTCTATTGGAAAACTTGACAGAATAATAGATTATTTAACAACTAAACAGTAACTGTTCCAATATAGTAACATCCCATAAATACACTCTTGGCAAATGCAAATTCAGTAAAATAGATTGTCTCACATGCATTTCTAGCAGCAGGAAGAGAACCCTCAGCTTTTAGCTGTAATGTAGAGAGGAGGAACAGCTTCCACCTGTAGCTTCAAAACCCCAGCAGCAACTGCTACTGAAAAACTAAAACTAAAACTAAAAGTCATGGCCCTGGGGGAGCTTGAGCCCACCCATTCAGGCTGCTGCTTTTGTTCCAACTTTTTTAAAAAAAAAATGCCCAAGGCCTCACAAGCTGTTTATTTTATTGGCTCTGCACCTCTGTCTTAAAACCTCTCCAAAACACAAAACCAGGACAAAATGCATGTCTTAAAGCAATAGTATCTTCGCAACATTATCTTCTTAATTTGGCCTTTCGAAATCTCTCTGCTGATAAACCTTTGCTGTACTTCCTCCAAAGCCAATTTACCTTTACCAAGGCGTGATTTTTAAGAACTGAGCACAGTATGGCAAGTGTGGTCTCACTAGGACTTTGTATATCTATATCTCCTTGACATAAAGTACTTTACTTTGTCTCACCCAACCAAGCAAGGAATCAAGGAGCGATTACTCTGCCAAGTGAGTTTTGAGAATGTAGAACTTGCTATGGCAGAAAATAGTGCATGTGAATAGTACGTATGCAATTAAGGTGAAGCAAAATAAGCATTTGACAGAAGGGTGTGCAGTGTTCTTCTGGTAGTATGAGATGAGATGAAACATGGATAGAATCTCAAAGAAACATACATGTTGTCATAGACTAGTTGGATTGAATAGCTTGTTTCTGTAATTTCAGTTCTGTACAGTTCTTTGGAACTTTATCTTCACTTCCTCTCTGATATAATCAGCTATGGTCACCTCATTCATCCCTCGTGTGTAGAATTCTGCATTCACACCACCCTCTGGGTGGGCAAGTTACTCCTAGAATTCTCTGTTGGTGTTGTGTAGAGGGGAACTTGCAGACATGGTCCTTGTATCTGATTGCTCTGCTTTGTGGAATGCCTTTCAATGCAAAAAGATTCAATTAAACATGGTGCAATAACTGTGCTTCACTTTACTTAGCAGTCCACCCACACAGACCCACTTGTGCTCACACTCTCACGCTCTTACAGATCTGCCTGTCTTGCATGCTCCAGCTCTTCACATCACTTTCTGGGGTCCCGAGGAAGACATAATGAGGAGATAATGAGAATGTAAAGGCGTGTGGTTTACATTTCTCAGCAGTGCAGTGCAGTCAGCTCATTGTATGTTTTGTGTATGGTCAACTGTGTCCAGTGAGTCTGAGATTCTGTACACTGCAACATTTAGTTCTTCCTGGAGTGGGGAAAATCTTTGATTCTTGAAATTAAAAGACCAGGCATTCAGCGAACCCATCTGAAATCAAGTGCTCTTTATTTTTCTTTCCTGTATTTTTAAGAGAGTGGAGTATCTGAAAGGGCATCAAATGTGTATCATGTGGTTGTCTCTAATTTTCAGTGTTTGTAAAACAGAGCAGTCAAAGCTCACAAATGGTATGTACAGGATTGAGGCACAACTGGGTTGAGGTTGTATGGTGCATCGTTGGGCACTGGGCATTGCAATGTCTGCACCATTATAATGAAGGAATTCTCCTCCAATGCTCAGTTGCAGCAGTATGTGCCATCTACAAGATGCCCTCCAGCACATTCCAAACTCACGACCGCTACCATCTAGAAGCATCTAGTGGACTGAGGCGGTTCAAGAATGCAGCTCACCACCAACTTCTCAAGGGCAACTAAATGCTGGACCAGACAGTGATGCCCATGTTACACAAGAGAATCAAAAAATATAGTTGATCGTATGTTGTCTGGAGGAAGAGTAAATTACTTAAATAAGTGGTGACATATAACAATCCGTTCAGAATTGCTGGCCTCCACATTTGTTGTATTTAGTGTCCCGAATTATGTCATGCTTGTCCTGTGGGAAGCAAGATATTAAGAATGGCAATGCATTTTACTACAGGTTTCTTTTGCACACAAAACTGATCCTGGAATTTAGTGGTACAAAGCCAAGCCTGAGGAACACGCATCATCTGCTTGATTTTATTTGAGCTATTGATTCACTTGCCTCTCTCTCTTGCTTTCTCTCCTCTCTCTCTCTCTCTCTCTCTCTCTCTCTCTCTCTCTCTCTGCCCATGAAGGTTGAAGAACGCTCCAAAATGAACAGGCAGAACTCTCCTGGTGCAAAGCCTAAGATGGGGACAACGATATCTGATCCATCACTGCAGTCACTCACTGAATCTGTACCCAGCAGTGCTGCCCAGACCTCTCAGACGCCACCCATGCACCGACCTGTGGAGCCGCAGGGAGCCCAGTCAAAGGTAGTTCTTCTTCATACTGTTAACGTTGCTTTCCCTATGGAGCAGTCCATCAAGTCACGCACCAATCTGTCTGCATCTTTCTGCAGCTTTAGCACTTTCCATCATATGTAACTTTGTATTGAGAGCAAATGCCTTCAACTTCCTGCTAAATCATTAATATAGATGCTAAGTATCTGAGGCTCATGTACTTGTGATACCTGGTGTTATGCAATGAAAAATTGATAGTTGCAATAATTTTCCATGAATCTCTGATAATTGAATATGTGGGTGACAGAAGAAGTTGACTTAACATGTACAGAATATGTTGGAAATGCTTATCCGTGTAGGCAGCATCAGTGAAATGAGAAAATGATTAATGATTCAGCTTTTGGACTGTGCCATGTCTTGCCTCCATTTTTGTTTTGCATTTGTTTCAGATTTGCAGCAACTGCTGTATTTGTGTGAGTTTGAGGTGGGGCATTAATGATTGTGTAGCAAGTATCAATTGGCCTCTGCTGTTCCAGTGTCCTTTGAGTTCTCACTGGAGCGTCTCTTGCAGTTTCAAGTGGCGCACCTTGTTGCGCTGAAGCCGTCGTCAGCACCGGTACCGCGGTCTCAGTCACTCCAAGACCAACCGACCAAGAATGTCGCTGCCTTCCCGACCCAGGAGCCTGCACCAGTGAAGCGTGGTGAGATGCTGCGTCAGAACTCTGACCCGACCTCGGAGACACCTGTACTCCCACCTCGTGCCAGCAACAGAGACGATTCCGGACCATGGGTGAAGATGGAAGATGAGGCACCTCCCAAGGTACAAGTTTGAAACAGACAGGGAACTGAAATACCTTGCAGTGCAGTAGATAGGAAAATGCTGATAAAGCACTCACAACTGGAAAAGAATTTAAGAACAGGAATAGATTACTGTGCCGTTTGGGCCCCCTCAGCCTTCATGCAGGTCATGGCTGATCTTGTACTTGAGCTCAATTTTCCTGTTATCCCTTGATTTTATTAATATACCAAAATTTATCAATCTCAGTTTTGACCATAATGATGAAACCTCCACAGCTGTCTGGGGTAGAGAATTCCAAACATACACCACCTCTGAATGAAGCAATTCTTCCTCATCTCTGTTTTAAATGCATTACTGATATTCTGAGACTGTCTGTCCTGGTCCTAGGGGAAACATCCTTCCTGCACTTTACCTGTCAAGCCCTGCAATAAAATTGTATTTTTGAATGAGATCACCACTTGTTCTTAACTCCAGAGATTAAAGGTCCAGAGTATTTAATCTTTTCTCATAGGATAATCCTTTGCACCCAGGAATTAGCTTGTAAACCTTCATTAATAAGTGTACACTCCTTTGGGTAAGGAGACCAAAGCTGTACACAATGAATTGTGCATTCTGCTACTATTAGAATAGTGTGCCTTCTATCTTGAGGCTTGCGCCATACATTTTTGGTTGGTCTTCTGGTATTATGTTCTTAGCTACCATGCTTTGTCTGTTTTTTTAATGAAAAATTGAGAGATTGTAACCTGTTATGCCTGATTAACGACTAATGTGGTAAATTTGACTGTGCCACAGGTTCCAGAGTTATTTTAGTCTACGTTTTATAATTGTGGGAGCTTTCTGTAAACTTTTCCATCGTAATCCTTGTGCTCACATTTTAGAATGCTGATTGCCTGTGTAAACAAGTTACTTGGTAGTTGTACCCTCTCTTACAGTGCCACCACTGGTAGGAGAAAATAATCACGGTATAATTTACTCGGGAAGTTTCCATAGTAAATGTGGAGTTGGGAACATGTAATGGCATTATTAATGGTAGGGCAGAACACATGGCTTCCAAATGATACTGTAATGCAATATGTTTCCTTACACTTGCTCTCTAACGCCAAAATCTCAACTCCTTTCATCTGAACTCTACCTTTGCTCTTGCCTTGCCCAAATGCAACACTGGGGATTAATACTTCAAGTACGAGGGGCTGAGAAAAAGCTCTCTTGATACCATTCAGGTGAAGGGACAAGGCGTGAATAAGATCATAATGAATCAGTATGTAAATTTGAGATGTTTCAAAACACAACAACTTGGTTGTGCTTTTGAAGAGCTTTTGTGACATTTCCTTGTGACTAATTGCGACATAACTCAAACACCCAGCATTTTATTCCTCTGTGAGAGTTTCAGATCATGAAGGTGGATGATTAACGCACATTTTCCCATCTTGTAGCACCTGGAGCACGCCCAGGTCAGGTACACAGAGAATCAGATGTGAAGCTTCTTCTGCCATTCCTATCACTGCCACAGTCTTATATGGCATCAGCTGGTTGCAGATGTATCTGAACAGAATCTCAATCTCAATCCCCAATTTCAAAAGAGTATTGTTGCTGCATCACTGACATCTCTATCGCCCACACAAACCATCCTTGTTATCTTTGAGCCAAATAATGAGATTGATTTTTGGCAAGTATGTTAAGAATTAAAGAAGCAAATTGGGTGAATAGAGTTAAGGTATAGGTCAGCTGTGGAGTAATTGAAAATGGAATATGTTAGATAGATCTAATTATCTTCTGCTGTTCCTTGAGCATGTTTTGCTGTGTAATTTGTGGGAGACATTGGTGCGGTGGTAATGCCACTGGATTAATAGTCTAGGCTAGCATCCTGAGGTTGTGGATTCAAATCCCAGCACAGCAACTGGAGGAATTTAACTTCAATAAAACACATCTGATATTGAAAGCTGACTTCAGTCCTGGTGCCCATGAAACTAACATTGGTTGTTAAAAAAACCATCTGGTTCACTAATGTCCTTGAAGAAAGTAAATCTGCCGTCCTTACCCTTTCTGGCCTACAAGTGACTGTGGGCACACAGCCATGTAACTGACTGTCTGAAATGGACAAGAGAGCCATCCAATTAGAGGGAAGTTAGGGGTGTTGGTCTTGCTAGTGATGCTCCCACTCCATGATAGAATAAAACCATTTATGCTTGTTTGCATCCAAGGTTCTTTACACTTATGATCCACATAGCCATCTCAGAGTGGAGACTGATCCCAGTGTTTTGTTCTGGGTAGAAGCTCATCCCTGAATCACAGCCGATGTTGTACTCCGTGCATTGTCTCAAAACTTGTTTGTGACTGAACCACGTTTAACGGGTGCAGATTGGTGATGAAGGCATAGTGTGGCTTAGTATGTTCACCATTTGAGTCTGAAGGTTGAGAGTTGCAGTATTACTCCAACACCTTAATTAAAAAGGTAGCCGGGCACTTCGATGTAGCATTGTCACAGTGTTAGAAGTGCTATGTTTTTGATGAGATATTTTAAAGGACTAATTTGACTCTTGAAGCATCTTTATCTTAAAACGGCTGAACGATTATGTAGACAAACTTTGAAATCACAGCAGCTTGCATTTATGTTGTGCTTCAACTGCAGGGAAACCCCTCAGTGCCACTTGGCAGCAATGTTAGACACAATTTAACAAGGCTGCCACATGATATGCCATGATAGATTTTAGTTAGGCAAGTGACTAGTAACCATCTTGGTCAAACAAGTAGATTTTAAAGAGCACCTTGGAGGAGCGGTTTAGGAAGGGAATTCTGGAGCATAGGACCTTGGCTGAAGGCAAGTGGTTTTGAGGTCAAGGAAAATAAGGGGGTGCATAAAAACCAAAGTGTGAGGAATACAGAGTTTTCAGAGGATGGGACTGCTGAGGAGATTACATAGGTGGGGGAATTTCTTTCAGTGCCCTGGACCAATATTCTAATCTCGTCCATCACAATCAAAGAAAAATGATTAACTGCTTAACTCATTGACTTCTACGTTAGGAAAGGCAAAGACCTGCTGGTATTACTGCTGGACTATTAATCCAGAGGCCCAGGTAATGTTCTGAGGACCCAGATTTAAATTCCATCATGGCAGATGGTGGAATTTGAATTCAATAATAATCTGGAAATGAGAGTTTATGATAACCATGAAACCATTGTGAAAACCCATCTGGTTCACCAATGTCCTTTAGGGAAGGAAACTGCCATCCTTATCTGGTCTGACCTACTTGTGATTCCTGACCCAAAATGATGTGGTTGACTCTGAACTGCCTTCTGAGCAATTAAAGATGGACAATAAATTCTGATCCACCCAGTGATGCCCGCATCTCATGAATTGATTTTTTAAAAAAGATAATTTGCATCAATATAACTGCTCATTATGTTGACACTGGTAGTAATTGTGTTCCAGAGTTGCTCATTGTACAGAAACTACTCTTGAATTCTTTCTGCAAGATGGGAGAGAGTGTATAAATGAAACTTTTTAACACTGTCTGCCAAGGTATTAATTGCAGCTCCCATTATTAACAGAAGGTAGTTGAAATTATCTTGCAGATTGACTTCAGTAACAGATGGAGTATTACACAGGTTATCATGCAATCCCCTGTGCCTAGAGCATGTAATTAATTGGCCACTGTTAATGAAGCTAAAATAATTCTCACTGTGCGATTTGACCTCTAAATGAGCAAATGGCTGACAGATCCTATCTGAAGTTCAAGTCACAGTACTGACTTTTTAAATACAGCAGTGCTCAATACAAATGCCAGGTCACAATGGCCTTTTAAAAGGGAATTTATCCATCGAAGCATGACTTGAGAAGAAAGTCTCACAGCCTAACTCCATATTTTCTTCAGAGTAGATTTGCTGTTGGAATTGAACATGAACAGATTTGTTTCTTTTTGGCTGAAGGTTCCTCAGAGAACGACCTCCATAGCTACAGCACTGAACAGCAGTAGTGCTCTGATAAATCGACCGGGGCAGGCACCACGTGCAAGGTAATATAAACCATTCAACACTCTCTCTTGTCCCCTTGTTCTCTTCTATTCAATCAAGTTTAGCAGGCAGCCAACCCGGTGATTAACCAAACTGAGTGAAATACAGACGATGCTGGAAGTTCACAGCAAGCCATTAACCTAATGTGTGTGCTCAAGACCACCGATTTACGGTTTTCATGAGGAAGAGAATGAATTGTAAAATTCCACTTTTAAGAGTAAAATCCAGGAGATTTATTTGTTAGATCAGAATGCCAGTTATCCAGTCACTATGAACCAATAGCTATAATAGTGACTGGAACCCTTAGTGCGGTTCCCAAATCACTTATAGTGTTACCTCATTGAATTTGCCTCAGTTGCACTAAGTCCATCTCATGTGAAATATTCCTTTTGCCTTGATCTTTGCTCACTCATTTGTGCACTTTTCTCTTGGAGAATAAAGATCAGCAAGGTCACCTATGTGTGGAACCGCAGGAGATGGGCAAGATTCTGAATGAGTATTTTGCATCAGTGTTTACTGTGGAGAAGGAAATGGAAGATGGAGAATGTGGGAAATAAATAGCGACATCTTGAAAAATGTCCATGTTACAGAAGAGGAGGTGCTGGATGTCTTAAAATACATAAACGTGGATAATCCCCAGGACCTGATCAAGTATACCCTAGAACTCTGTGGGAAGCGAGGGAAGAGATTGCTGGGCCCCTTGCTGAGATATTTGTATCATCAATAGCCGCAGGTGAGGTGCCGGAAGACTGGAGGTTGGCTAATGTGGTGCCAGTATTTAAGAAACGTAGGAAGGAAAAGACCGGGAACTATAAACTGGTGAGCCTGATATCGGTGGTGGGCAAGTTGTTGGAGGGAATCCTGAGGGACAGGATTTACATGTATTTGGAAAGGCAAGGACTGATTAGGGATAATCAGCATGGCTTTGTGTGTGGGAAATCATGCCTCACTAGTTTGAAAAAGTAATGAAGAAGATTGATGAAGGCAGAGCATTGGATATGATTTTTATGGACTTCAGTAAGGTTTTCAACAGGGTTCCTCATGGTAGACTGGTTAGCAAGGTTAGATCACACAGGATACAGGGAGAACTAGCTATTTGGATATAGGAATGGCTCAAAGGTTGAAGACAAAGGGTGGTGGTGGAGGGTTGCTTTTCAGACTGGAGGCCTGTGATCAGCAGTGTGCCACAAGGATCAGTGCTGGGTCTACTGCATGTTGTCATTTATATAATAATTTGGATGTGAACATAGGAGGTATGGTTAGTAGTTTGCAGGTGACACCAAAATTGGAGGCTTAGTGGATAGTGAAGAAGGTTACCTCAGAGTGCAATGGGATCTTGACCAGATGGGCCAATGGGCTGAGGTGGGCAGATGGAGTTTAATTTAGATAAATGTTATGTGCTATATTGTGGAAAGGCAAATCAGGGCAATATTTATACACTTAATGGTAAGGTCCTGGGGAGTGTTGCTGAACGATGAGACCTTGGAGTGCAGGTTCAAAGTTCCTTGAAAGTGGAGTCTCAGATAGGGTAGTGAAGAAGGTGTTTGGTATGCTTGCCTTTATTGGACAGTGCATTGAATATAGGAGTTAGGAGGTCATGTTACGGATGTACAGGACATTCATTTGGCTCCTTTTGGTGTATTGCATCCAATTCTGGCCTCTCTCTTATAGGAAGGATGTTGTGAAACTAGAAAGGGTTCAGAGAAGATTTGCGAGGATGTTACCAGGGTTGGAGGGTTGAGCTATAGGGAGAGGCTGAATAGACTGGGGCTATTTTCCCTGGAGCATCAGAGGCTGAGGGGTGACCTTCCAGAGATTTATAAAATCATGAGGGGCATGGATAGGGTAAGTAGGCAATGTCTTTTACCTGGGTTGGGGAGTTCAAAAATAGAGGGCATAGGTTTAAGGTGAAAAGGGAAAGATTTAAAAGGGACCTAAGGGTCAGCTTTTCTCACAGAGGGTGATGCGTGTATGGAATGAGCTGCCAGAGAAAGTGGTGGAGACTGGTACCGGAACAACATTTAAAAGGCATCTGGATGGGTATATGAATAGGAAGGGTTTAGAGGGAAATGGGCCAAATGCTGGCAAATGGGACTAGATTTATATAGGATATCCGGTCGGCATGGACGAGTTGGACCAAAGGGTCTGTTTCCGTGCTGTATATCTCGATGACTAATTGTGTCCAAATTCTGTGATCCACCCACCAATTGTAACTCTGCAGTGCCACTTATTTAATCACCCAATTCAACACTTCAGCATTCACTCCCTCCATCACCGATGCACAGTGTCAGTATTGTGCATATTATACAAGATGTGCTTTAGTAGTTCACCAACACTCCTTGAACAGCACCTATTGAACCTGTGTCCTCTGCCACCGAGAAAGATGAGGGCAGGAGATGTATTTGAACACCATCACCTGCATGTTCCACTCCAAGCCATGCACCCATCCTGATGTGGAAATGTATCGCTGTTCCTCCAGTGTCTCTGGTTCAGAATCCTGGAACTCCCTTTCTAAGAGCATCGTGAATACCCCTGCATCCCATGGATTGTCACGGTCAACTTAGCTCACTAAAACCTTCTCAAGGGCAATTTGGGAGGAATAATAAATGCCGTGGCCAGCAATGCTGTCAGCCTTTAAAGAAGAACAAAGCTGGGAGCTGGCTTGCCCAAATGCAACGCAGGAAATCTGTCTCTGTTTAGATTTGTCTCATTCCAGTATCTTGCATAGTGGGTATATCCCATGGACATCTTCCTTTGTCAGTTCATAGCTTCTTCAATATGGCATGAAGCAGGTTCCAGAGTGCAAACTAGTTTGAGGATGGTGTTACTTTTAGCTGCCCTGTGCTATTCCCTTCACTTCTAGGCTCTTCTCTGATTCTCAGTACCTGTGGAAATCGGCCAGGTAATGATTGTTGTGTTTGAATGGCCATAGGCATGAAGACTGAAATAGCAGATCAAGTCTTCCTTTATTTTACTGATATATAAGTGGATGCATCACCTGTTGTTTAGAATAAGTAATCTTGGTACCTGTTCAAGAGTATTGGTTGTTTTTAAATGAAGTGAAATTCTCTGACCATTGTTTCAAGGGAGAGCAATGCCCTGGTCAGTGTTATACGAGCATACAATTTGGGTGCAGGAGTAGACCACTTGTTCCCTCGAGTCTACTGTGTCATTCAATAAGATCATGACTAATCTGATACTACCGCATTACACTGAATATGGGAAAATGTGAGGTTGTTCATTTAAAAATTATTTAAAAAGTGAACAACTGTAGAAGTCCAAGGTGCAAAGCGATCTTTGTGTTCTGGTGTATAACTCTCTCAAAATGTTAGTATGCACCTACAACATTTAATCAAGAAGACTCAGAGATGCTATTCTTTATGACAGAAATTGACTATAAAAGTAGTGTACTATGGCCCAGTTATGCAGAGCCTTCATAAGATCTCATCGCAAATGCTGTAGGTAGCTTCAGTCTTCTCATGTAAGCATTGCATTTGAGGCAGTTCAGAAAAGGTCTCTTAGATTGATACTTGGAATGAACATGTTGTCTTATGAAGAAAGATTAGACAATTAGGCTTGTTGACTAGGATTTAGAAGAGCTAGGGGCGATTTAATTGAAGTGTAAGATGGTCATGACAAGTTAGACATGGAAAGTCTGTTTAGTCTTGTGCGTATGTCCAGAGCTAAGGCACAGTTTCAAAATTAGGGGTTGCCCCTTTAGGTCAGAGATGAGGGGAAATTTTTTCTGAGGTTTGAAACTTTGGAACTTTCCACATCAGAAGACGGTGGAGGTAGGGCTTATTGAACTTAGACAGTAATGTTAAAACAGCATTATTGGGAGTTAATGGAAATGTGGAATTTGATCTACTGAATGGAGCAGAAGCCTGAAGGGCTAACTGGCATACTGCTATTCCTAGTTTTTTTTGGCCCTGAACCTTTCTTTTCCTTCTTCAGTCCCTCACTAATAACATAACTGACCTCACTACTTTTTTATAACATGTGATCTGGATGTTAGCTCATTGCTACTTATGGGGCCTTTGTGTGAAAACTGGTTGCATTTTTCCACGTCACATTGGTGGTGGTACTTCGGTTATAGCTAATTGATTGTGAAGAATATTGGGGTTCCCTGTGGTTGGGAAAGGTGTTATGCAAATACATTTTTGTCTTTTTTTAATGTGCTGGCTGACTGGATTTTAAATTCCTGGCAGGAAGGAACTTACCCAAAAATTCAACCTAGCAGCACAGTTGCAAACTGCCGTATATCTGTTGTGTGTTTTCTGGGTGGGTTCTTTGTGCACAGCTTAATCGTTTACTAAAGTGAAACCTTGAGCCAGTCATGTCGCTATGGGACATTATGCCACACAAACGGTTGCCTAACTTGGGTGTCCTGCTTTGCTTATAGCAATCCAGATCTACGCAGAATTGAGCCAGGATGGGAAAGGGCAGAAAGTCTCCCACTGATTGGCCCCCATCGGGTACTTGGGACTGGTTCCATGGAGCGCAACAGAATTACAAGTAAGTAGGCTCATTTGAAGTACTGTTTAGAAAACCTCAATATATTTAGGAGCAAAATTTTAAGCTGGTTATCATATGGCTTATTGCCAGCAGATTTGCTCCATTGCATATTCTATATACTGTAAAGTACTTGAATTAAGTGCATCTAAATTGAAATCTGGCTCATAAGTCGTCAGATCAAGTTGGCACTATTCTTAAGGCCACTTCAAAGTCTTGCACAAAGTGAAAAGCTCTAAAATATTCAATCTTTTACCAATAGCTATGATTATGTAAGATCATCTTAAAATTTCTAGATGCTGTGGTCGAACTACATCGAGTATACCCTGGCAGTACTCCAAGGCACTGCTGGAAAATTGCAAATAATTGCTGAAGAGCAGGGAACACCAAGCACTACACGACGCAGAAAATAATGATCAACATGCTAAGTCCTATCTATTAGCCTCCATTGTCCATCTTTGGCTCACTTAACTTGCACTCAGATTGCCCTTAGCATTTCCCAGACTCTGGGCTGTCTGCTTATTGAGCTTTGTTCTAGTATTTTAAGATTGTGAAAGGCTTTGATGGGGTAGATGCAGAGAAAATATTTCTACTTGTGCAGAAAATCAAAATGACGGATCATACCCTAGATCACAGCATAAGTGTTAACCCAGTTTTTTTTTTAAATTAATTAATTCACGGATGAGTTTTTTGCTGGCCAGGCCAGCATTTTCTGCCCATCCTTAATTAAGAGTCAGCCACATTGCTGTGTATAAGACAATACCCTTCCTTATGTACAAAAAGAGAAATTGCTGGAAAAAACAGGCCTGGCAGCATCTGTGGAGAGAAATCAGAGTTAATGTTTTGGGTCCAGTGACCCTTCTTCAGGAAAAAGAAAAAAAAACTTCTGCACAAAAAACAACAAGCTTTATGTGCCAAGTTCATTCTTACACTTGGCATATAAATTGAGTTTTCTGATTCTTGGAGGGATTTTTCAAGGCTGCAAAGGTCAGCTCGTATGCTGACATCTACATAAAAAGCAGGAGTAGGTCATTAAGCCTGCTCCGTGATTCACATTGCCGAATTCCTCTCTCTGCCCATACTCCTTGATGGCCTTAGAATCAAAGAATCATGGAATCCCTACAATACAGAGAGGACATTTGGCCCATCAAGTCTGCACCAACCTTCTGAAGAGCATCCAATCCTATCCCCATAACTCCCTATTTACCATAGTCAACCTACCTAGCCCGCACATCCATGAACACTACAGGGCAATTTACTTTTTGGCCAATTCACCTAATGTGTACATCTTTGGACTTGGGAGGGAACCGGAGCACCCAGAGGAAACACACGCAGACGTGGGGAGAACATGCAAACTCCATATAGACAGTTGCCCTGGGTCACTGGCACTGTGAGGCACTGTGCCGCCCTAGTGTCTTAGTCTTTAGAAATCTATTTCTTTCTTAAATAGTGACTTGTGGTTTACAATTGTTTCTCCTCATCTCAGTCCAAAATAGCTGAGCCTTTATCCTGAAACCATGATGACCTCTAGTTCTGGGACTAAATCCCCTCCTTGGCCAGGGAGAACATCATTCTTGTATTCAGTCTGGCCCTGCGGAATTTTATGTTTGAATGAGATCCACTCACGTTCTTCTAAATGCCAGTTAATCATCCTAGGAACCAGCCTGGTGAGCCTTTCCTGCTGTTCCTGTATGTCTACAGTAATTGTAAAGTATAGGGAATAAATCCAGCAAGGATTGTCTTTTAAGAACTGTCTTATTCAATGAATGATAAGACTGCACTACTACAATGAACAGTTGAAGGAAAATGTTTTTAAAGGAAAGCTATGTAAGTAGATTAAGGCGAAAGAAGAAAAAAGTTAATTTGAGAGGAAAAATCAAGAGGAAGAATGCTCAAATGGAGCATTAACAGCATTGTTCATTTAGGTTGATCGTCATGTTTCTACATTATGATACCAATTGTACTTTGAACAGTGACTAAGTGGTTTTGGCACATAGAGGATATGAAAGGTAGTCTTCAGTCAACTCAAGTATTTCTGCAGAGGTTGGATTGTTATTTGGATATTTTGAGCTCAGTATGTTCAACTGTAGAGATTGATTTGAGAGGAGACAAGTGAAGATTTTTTAAAACAAAAATAACATTATCAGGAATGTTTAAAACCTAGATATGTGTTCATTTCGAGATTATTGTTTTAGAGTCAAAACATCAGTGACCTTAACTTGACTTGAATTAGCTAAGTGCTATGCTTGCAGTTGTTAACTTGCGACTTTTCTTTTCCCCTCTTTCCACCCCCATACCCACACGCACAAATACACCACCAGCTTCCTCCAAGCCTGAAGGATCGCCAGTCCTCTCGCAGGATACAAACCGGGGAAAGCCAGAGGAGATACGCACTACCTCACGACCTGGAAGACCTGCAGTAAGTGTGAATGCTGACTAATGTAGGAGGCTGAAATAGTAGGTCAGTGACCCTCTGGAATTGTCAAACAGTCCCTTCTATGCTAAAGTGACTGAGCTTAGATACGGTTTATCCATTTTCTGGTTTTTACCAGTGTTGGGAATTCTAGGAGGTTAGCCTCGCATTCATGTTTACAGAACGTGAAATATTTCCTCCCTTTATAAGAAATCCTACATTGTTGCTTATGAGAGGAAGCGCTTGGAATATCCTTAAGTTTTGTTACAATGTGGAGAACTCTTCACTCAGACAGTTCTCAAATTTACAGGGCAGGATGCACACTTATGTGAAAATTAAGCAGAAGTGATTCACTTGAGTTACACTTTACTGAAAAATTACCTTTATTCTTGTTGCCCCATTCATCTTAAATGCTGAGATTTTATTTTGCTTCATTAAATTATAAAGCAAATACAATTTGTTGCTGTAATTTACCACTCCAGCTTTCTAAATAAAATCAGTCATCTTGATTTTGTAAAGTGTGACATTGTAAAGTGGGATCTACCTAATGTTCTCCTAATTTAATATTAAAACACTGTTTTCACGTAGCACTGTAAAATTTAATGTACCTTTTTGGAGACTGGAAAGAGGTTCATATGAAACATCAACTCCCTCATGGATCAGTTAGACCAAATAACCTGTTACTATGCTGAGAGAGTGTTTGTAAAATTAGTCTTACCCACACTCTTATGGCTCAGTCGCCAATACTGCTACTTACGGCAGAAGGTTGGATTTGAGCACACTAATTAAGCAGATTATCCTGGTGGTGTGCCATGTCACCTGGGGTGTAATCCTTCAGGTAAGGTCTTGCCCTCTGCTGCAATCAGCAATCCCATGGCAAAATGGTTCTCTGATCCAATGTTCCTCCCTCAACCAGTGTCATCAAAAGGGAGGCACTAATCATTGATTTGTGCTGTGGGATCTTGCTGTGTACAGATGCATGGCTACATTTCTTGACATGGCAGCAGTCAGTGCATCTTGAAGTAATTTATTGCAGTTGTTTGTCATATTTTTCCAGCAAATAGGCCATCATCTAAACTTACAGGCATCTGTTGCTGCATTTATGCTTTGAGTAGCAATCAACACCCCCTCAACCTGTAATCTCACTCCATTTAGTTTAATCCTACTGCAGCCTTTGGTTGAATGTGTTTCACGCAGTTGCAGGTTTGGCAGACGCCATTGTGAATGCTGCTGGAGTGACATATGTCACTGATGGTGTCCAAGTGAGGGGAATAGCCTGCGTTCTGTTCTGAGTGGTCAGAGCCGACATAGTCCAACTGAATTGATGCTGAGTCAGCAATCCAAATCAGACTGATGGTCCAGGAAATTGGAGGGGAAAAATAGCCACAGTTTTGTAAATGCAGTTTTGCACTGCATTTCTTTTTTGGCCAGAGAAGAAAAGGAGGATTGCTCTAAGTATTGCCCAGATTACATTATCCACTGAAGCTTGAACAGTTCAGGAGTGTGTCTGCTTCCCTACATGGGTTCCTCACCCTTCAAGTGTCTTGGATCGTAATTGAAGTGAAATGATTAGGAACTGTCCTGTGTGCCTCCACGCTGTGACAGCAGTCTCCTAAAGGAGCTTGCCAAATATCCTTTTTTGAAATACCTCCTCATTTGATTGTTAAGTAACAAGGATTATAGCAAATGTAATGATGCAATGTACTGTCTGTGAAAAGACAAGTAGGTCTATTTGCAGAGATAGTAGGAACTGCAGATGCTGGAGAATCTGAGATAACAAGGTGTAGAGCTGGATGAACACAGCAGGCCAAGCAGCATCAGAGGAGCAGGAAGGCTGACGTTTCGGGTCTAGACCCTTCTTCAGAAAATTTGCAGTCAGTTTAATCAACCCTGAGCCGTCTACTGAGTTGACTGACTTAGATTGAGCTGCACTCTTTGAGCAATCTTAATAACTAGGTCTTGCTACTTTCTTTGTTTGTGTAGTCTTCAGATTGAGTGCCCAAGCTGCTCACCTTGGTTGAGAAGCATGTTTTTTCCCCTTGCTGTTGATACATGTGTATGATATAATCTTCTCACCACTTCCCTGGATTAGCACAGCCACAAGACATAACGCACCTTTTTTTTTAAAAACAGCAGGGGTTTGTATTCAACTCGAGAAAAGCAATCAAATCAAGGTATTTTATGATGATTAAAGTATTAAGTACAGAGAAATCAAAGATACCAAGAAGCGCAGATGCTGGAGTCAGAGACAACACAGTATGGAGCTGGAAGAACACTAGATCAGGCAGCATCAGAGGGGTAGGAAAGTCGATGTTTTGGGTCGGGATCCTTCTTCAGAATTGGGGAGGGGGAAGGGAGCTGGGAAATAAACAGAGGGTAGAGGGGTGGAGCTGGGGTAAGGTAGGTGGGGTGGTGATAGGTGGGTGCAGGTAGGCAGTGGTGGGGATTGGTCGGTGGGAAGGGTGGGGCAGATAGATGGGGAGGAAGATGGACAGGTTGTGTCAGGTCAGGGAAGCGAGAGGGAGGGGAGGTGGGGTGATGATAGGCGGATGCAGGTGAGGGGGTATTTGGGATTGGGAAATATTGGGAAAAGTACAGAAGAAACAAGAAAAACCTTGACGTTAGAGTCGAGAACAGCTCTTCACATGGGCATGGAAATCTCTTGCCCCACTAAAAAATGCTGCTGGTCAGTTGAAGGCTTCAGAATTGAAATTGATACATCTTACTTTGGTTAAGGTATTGAGCGTGACAGAACCAAGATGGATTGATGGAGTTCAAGTACAGATCAGCCAGATCTAATTGAATGATTGCACAGACTTGATAGGCTGAATGGCCTCTGCATGAACAACTGATGGATACACAAAGGGTTTATTATGCCTGTCGTGATTTTAACTGGATTTCACTTGGGGTCTTCCTGGTTTGTGTGAGTGAGTTACTCCTCGTCTGAGCCAGCGGAGGGAAGCTGACACCACAGTAAACAGTCTAGAGCATGCAAAATATTATTCCAGGCCAAAACACCTAGAAGGACAAGGGTGGCAGAAGCATGGGAACAGCACCACTTGCAAGTTCCCTTTTAGGTCACACACCATCCTGACTTGGAGCTATGACATTATTTCTGTACCTCAAGAACTATAGTGGTTCAAGGTGGTAGTTCAGGCCAATTAGGGATGGGCAATAACTGTTAACCTAGCCAGTGACACCTACAGCCCATGTGTAAATTGAAAAGAAACTCCTGCCCTCTGCAACTTGAGATCTCCTTGCAAGAAATATCCACTTGCCAGCTCTCAGCCACGTTGTCACAGGTGAATTGCTCAGATTCTGACTTTGTGGAAAGCTGGCATTTGGAGTTACACCTCCTGTCCCAGTGTCACCTGCCAATTCTGTCTTCTTCCAACCCTTCTGGAGAAGCATTTTGCAATCTCAGTATCTGGCCAGACTCCGATGTGTTCAGTCTTGAGCAGATTTGCTTGGTAATTAAATCAATGTATCCAGGCTGCTTTCCCTACAAAGATGCACAAGGTTGTGTGAAGTCAGGAGCGCAAATCCTTCTTTAGTTGAATGTAAACAATTGGATCACAGTGCAATTTAAGCCATTCTGTATATCCTGTTACTCTAAACTTGATTTACTGTTCTCTCCTGAAACTGTCCTGTCGTTCATTTTGTCTTAGAAGTATGACTTTGAGTGTATTATGGCTGCAGTATTGAATTTGAATTAGTTTAATGATGTGTGATTTCAATTTGTTTTTAAATAACTTTGTGCCTTCTTCCTTTTTGCCTTCAAAACTTTGCCACTTCTCAGAGCTATAAGAGGGCAATAGGTGAGGTTAGTGTCAATCTGTATTTTACTGTAAGCTTGCTTTTACATCTGACATTTGTATATGTTGGATTGTATTTGCTTTGGCTTGATGTTCAGCTTTGCAACCTCATAGAAAGCTCTCTCCTTGTTCACATGCATACACTTACCAATACCAACCCACCAATACAGCATTAATGGGGTTAAAGCAGCTCAGGATGATGGTGAAAGAAACGTGGGAGTCTTGGTCATTGTGGCTGCTTCTCTGCTGTAGTCAATCAGGAAAATCGTTGTTGATCCCCAAAACCAAGATGTCAGTGTGTGGTCAAAGAAAGGAACAGTACGATGTTCTGATCAGGCTACAGCGGGAATACCGTGTCCGCTTCTGGTCTTTGCTACACAAGGGAATTTTCTGAGTACTGGGGATATTGCAGCGGAAAGCCTCATGGCTGACCACGTCAAATGTCTAAGCTGTGAGACAGCACGGAACCTACCAGCGAGGCAGGAGGCCAACTGGCCAATCATGTTTGTGCCAGCTCTTTGAACAAGCTAGCCAATTAGTTGCACTCCCTCGCTGTAAACCCAAAGTCCTGAAGTTTCCCCAGTCATTTATCTCAAAGCACAAGGTAAATTTGGGCCTTTTGGTCAGAGAAAGAGCGTAACTAAGAGATGGTCTTTAGGGTGTACAAACTTGATGAGATAGAAAGCATAGACTGAGGACATTGAAATCAAATTGTAAATTGTACGAGGGCAGACAGGGTCACAGATATAATCAAATTCTTTCTTGTAAGTAAGGTGATTAATGCACTGAACAAAACCAGAGAGTGCACTGGAGACCTGCATTTCTGGACTTGACAGCAAGTTTAATGCTACAAAAGGATCTTTTAATGGGCTTGTGACTGCTGTAAGTGTTAATATCGGAATAGCTATGTGTAGCTGTTGGGTGGAATGAAAGAAGCTGTCGGATGAGTGATTTTCCCATGTAGCAAGCCAGTTTTCATATCAGCATGACGACATATTTCTTTTCGTTTTCATGAAGGGATCTCGATAGGGAATGTATAATTTCTGTGTTAAGGTTCACTTTGAGCATGTCTGTTGACAGTTCATTGAAATCACGTAATTGTTGGCTTGCTATGATCAGTAAAAAGCCTCTATTGTCAGATGTGTGGGAACTCTAGCACGTTAACTGAACAAGTAGGTTTGCTGGTTGGTGTAAAGACCTTGGGTTTTTCCTGCTAGAATAAGAGCGTTTAATGTGTTTCTAAAGGACATGCTGAACCTGGGGAAAGACATCCGGTCAGACGAGCTGCCCAAACCACCGGTTAAAGTGATGGACTACTCGTCCTCCAGTGAGGACTCTGGCAGCAGTGATGATGATGAGGAGGAAGCTGACAGTGAACGTCAAGATGAGAATCTGTCCAGCTCTGATGGCTCCAGATCAGGGTGAGTACTTCCTGTGGTCCAGACTGAAGTGGCTGGGCAGCTCAGCTGCTTCATCACTTTATGAACGACTCATTCACTGGTTAAAAAGAGACCCAGGGCCCTCGTTATGGCAGCAATGACCAGTAACAAGCTGCTTTTTAAAAGTACATGGCACAGTGCAAATCATACATGCTGTCCTTCTTGTTAGCTACCTCATGACTGCCTACTCCCACCTATTGTCAGCTTTATCACTTTTGAGTGAGACAGCCAGCTCCTGCTGACAAGGCACCAGTAAAAGCAAACAACTTCAAACCTGAAACAGAAAGAGGATGCCTAGTCAGTCATGTGTTGTGGGAAGAAAGCGTGCTTTTTGGATGTGAATTCAATAAGTTGCCTTCAGATAATCATTACCCAGTCCAAATTTCTTTCTCTCTCTTCCCAGAAGTTTGTCTGTTTGTCCTGTCTAGTGCCTCAGTTAGATGGCTATTCTCATCTGCTAGCATAGTCAGGTGTATCGAGCTGTGGAAGCACAGTAGCCTCCCTGCTTCCACATGTACGTTTATCAGTGCATAGCAGGGCAATGATGACACCATGGTAATGTCACTCAACTAGTAACTCACAAGGCCTTGGGATGTGGGTTCAAATATCACCGTGGCAGCTGGTGGACTTAATATGTGCATTTAACTAATCAATTGTAAAGGAATTGTGATTGAAATCAAGTTTCATGGTCACTTACTGAGACAATCAGCAGTTATTACAAAAACTTAGCTGGCTCACTAAAGTCCTTGCAGGGAAAGAAATCTGCTGTCCTTACCTGGAATCATAGAACATAGAACAGTACAGCCCTGGAACGGGCTCTTCGGCTCACGATATTGTGCCGAACATGATGCCAAACAAAACTAATCTTTTCTGCCTGCCCTTGGTCCATATCCCTCCATTCCTTGCACATCCATGTGCTTGTCTAAAAGTGCCTTAAACGCCCCTATCGTACCTTCCTCCTCCACCACCCCTGGCAGTGCATTCCAAACTCCTTCCACTCTGTTTAAAAAAAAAACTTGCCCCTCACATCTCCTTAGAACTTTTCCCTCTCACCTTAAATGCATGCGTCCAAGTATTAGGCAATTCAGTTCTGGGAAAAAGATTCTGACTGTCAACCCTATCTATAATTTTACAGACTTCTATCAAGTCTTCCCTTAACCTCTCCCCTCTGCTCCAGAGAAAACAACCCTAGTTTGACTCCAGATCCACAGCAATGTGGTTGACTCCTAACTAATCTCTGAAATGATGTAACAAGCTCTTCAATTCAGGGATAATTAGGGATGGGCAACAAATGCTGTTGTTGCCAGTGTCACTCTCATCCCATGAATGAATAAAGATCAAAAGAACAACTACAGGATAGACTTCTATAATATGATTTGCCCGGAAAATGAGAGCCATGACTTTATAATAATGATAACTCCTTCTCTGCAGATAAAATCTATGTCTTAAAGCAGTCACAAAATAAATTGATGCTGAAAATAAATGGTATCGCTCGAAATTTTTTCGAATTTTTGGCTTTGTTCTTCAGACCAAGCCGTAACAAAGATGGTGACACAGACAGCGTAAGCACAATGGTGGTGCATGATGAAGAGGAGTCTTCAGCAGCTGAAACATCCAGCAACACCTATGGAGATGGAACAATGATTGTTCAGAGGGTAGGTGCATAACGAGGCATGTTTCTGTCACTTTGAATGTCAGAAAGTTGGCTCTGGCTGTGACTCGGAGGACTGGAGCACTCGGCACATATTGCAGAGTGCCAAAGAAAACTCTCTTTCCCACCGAACACCAATTCAATAAGTTTTTAATGTCTGCTCCTTTATAAAGAAAAAGACAGAGCAGAGAAAATTGCCCTTCTTCCTGCTTGCTATCCAACAGTGGAATGAACTGCCTGGTTGTCAGTCCTCTGGCAAGGCCATCAAAGGGAAAAGGATGCAATCTGTTAGTGAGAGCTTTCCAGAGACTCTGAACACATTTAGAAGCGGAAAAAGGAACAACTTTGGAAATGTGAAGATGCAGTAATTTGGCAAGTCTACGTACCTTGCAGAGGCACATTCTACAATCTCGCAACTTAAGTTGAGAAATTGTACCTGACAGGAGTGGAGGTCCATGATGCTGCTATAAAGCATCATTGTTCACCAAGCAACTTTGTGTTTCGGCTAGTACTAAATTATGTGGCAGTCATGTAAACAAGATGCAGATTGGACATCAGTAAGCTTTGCACGGGAGAAAAAGGGGCAGTGCGGTGGCTCAGTGGTTAACACTGCTGCCTCTCAGCACCAGGGACCCAGGTTTGATTCATCGGGCGACTGTCTGTGTGGGTTTCCTCCCACCGTCCAAAGATGTGCTAGTTAGGTGGATTGGTCATGCTAAGTTGTCTATTGTGTCCAGGCAATGTGCAGGCTAGGCAGGCTAGCCATGAGAACTGCAGGCTCCTTGGGGGGTGGGAGTGGTCTGAGTGGGACCCCCTCCAGAGGGTTGGTGTGGACACGATAGGCTGAATGGCCTGCCTCCACACTGTAGGGATTCTATGATTCTAACTATTCCAGCTGGCAATACTCCCTGCTGGAAGTTTGCACCTAATGAAGAAGCCGTCTAGAACAGTCAGTCAGGAAGATGATTGAGAAAGCAAAAGGTTATACATTGGATATTCTTTAATGGTTTCCACTTCGAGTAATTCCTGAATGCCCCAGAGACCTTTTTTAGGTGGTGATGTGTGATGTGTTGACACCAAGAAAGCCCGTTGCTTCTCTGCAATTTGGCGCATCAGTGTCAGTTGTAATACTTTATCTGAAAGCTGACCCTCCAGGTGATGCACCCTTGGGTGACACGGTTTGCACTTGAAGCTGTGACATTGAGGTGGAAGAGCTGCCAATTGTCCTGAGCTGGTATCTAGATCCAATCATGATGACAAACCATTGTACCATGCCTCCTCAATTGTATGATTTCTCAAAAGTATTTTTGGTTGAAGGACCATTTTTCAACAGATTATCAATCATGATCCTACCCATCTAAATCAGTTAATGTAAATTCTACATGCAAAGAGTCTTTGGGTACAAGTGAGATGAATGTCCCCATTTCTAAATGCTTGATAAGATGAACTTAATTATTTAGGGGGAGAAAATTTCCACCTTGTGTATGAAGCTGACCTCAGCTGACTCATATGCCACTGACCAACATTGGTTATTGCAGGTTAACCTGGTGTTCCACCTGCTGCTTTCGTAACTCCTTTATGTTTGGTTTGTTTCTTCTCTCTCTCCCTCTGTCTGTTTTTCTCCTCCACTCTCCCTGAAGAAACCCAAAATTCTCCATAGCACACAGGGCAGATCCTGCACTCTGCTGTCATTTCTCATGTCTGACTATTGCTAAATAACTAAGGTTTTATCCCATTCCCCTCCTCAAGAAGTCTACACCGATCCTCTGGGAATCCTCTGTACACACACACTTTGTGTGGTAATAAGGATTTGTCTTGTGTAAGTAAATGTGTGTATGATATATTAAACAGATCTCTAGCTGTGTTCAGCCTAGCTGTTCAACCAGAAATTAATGAGCTTTGCACAGTGATGTATTAGCTCTTGGATGGGATTATTCTCTTGGATTGCTGTGCAAGCTATCTAATATTTTCTAATACAGATTTGTCTGCATGTATCGGGTAAACAAATGTTTCCTTTTCGGCAGGTTGTTTCTCAGTCTTTGTTGACAATTTGTGTTTGGTTGTCCATGACTTACTGATTTCTGCAGTCTGACATTCCTCATCCCCTCCTCAGAATTAGCGGAGAGTGATTGTACTTAATACTTAATGATCTTTTCTGTCACATGGGGAGGACAAAAGTGTGTGGCTGCCTTTCAATGTGGCATCCAGATTAAAACTAGGGATGAGAAATATAAGACAGTCAGTAATAACTCCCAGTGGAATGTTCAGGAACAAATCCTTGACTAAGGGAGTGACTGAAATGTGCAATGAGCTATCAGGAACAGGTGAGACATGTAGGACATGTAGATGCATTTGAGGGGAAGCTAGATAAACATGTGAAGGAGAACAGAGTCATATGATGCAGAAAAGGGCCATTTGGCCCATCAAGGTCCTTGATTCTGTCAGTAGAACAATCCAATTCGTCGTTTCCCTCTCATTTTCTTACTCTTCTCTTTTCCTTCCTCACTCCCTCCCTCCCTCCCTTTCTTTCTTTCTTTCTCTCTCCCTTTCTTTCGCTCCTTCCTCTCTCCCTTTCTTTCGCTCCTTCCCCACCCCGTCACTCTGTCTCTCTGTCTTCCTCCTCTATCTGTCTCTCTCTCTCTCCTCCCCCAATTCTGTCTGTCTGTCTGTCTCTCAATCGGATCGATCCAATCCAGCGATCGATCCTTCTTTCCTTCTTTCTTTCCAGAAGGCCTTTGACAAGGTGCCGCACAGGAGGCTGCTAAGTAAAATAAGGGCCCATGGCTTTAGAGGCAAGCTACTAGCCTGGATAGAAGATTGGCTGTTTGGCAGAAAGCAGAGAGTGGGGGTAAAAGGGTCCTTCACAGGATGACAGGTGCTGACTAGTGGTATTCCACAAGGGTCAGTGTTGGGACCACAACTTTTCACTTTGTACATTAACAATTTAGATGAAGGAACTAAGGGCGTTCTGGCTAAGTTTGCAGATGATACCAGGATAGGTGGAGGGACAAGGTAGTGTTGAGGAGGGGAGGAGGCTGAAGAAGAATTTAGACAGGTGAGAAGAAAGGGCAAACAAGTGGCAGGTGAAATACAACATGGGAAAGTGTGAGATCATGCACTTTGGTAGGAAGAGTAGGCGCATAGAGTATTTTCCAAATGGGGAGAAAATTTAGAAATCTGAAGTGCAAGAAGACATGGGAGTACTAGTCCAGGATTATCTTAAGGTAAACTTGCAGGTTGAGTTGAGAGTTAGAAAGGCAAAGACAATGTTGGCATTTATTTCGAGAGGACTAGAATATCATAGAATCATAGATTATAGATCCCTACAGTGTGGAAACAGGCCCTTCAGCCCAACAAGTCCACACTGAACCTCAAAGCATCCCACCCTGACCCACCCCACTGTAACTCACCTGGTCTACACATCCCTGAACACTACGGGCAATTTAGCATGGCCAATCCTCCTAGCCTGCACATCTTTGGACTGTGAGAGAAACCGGAGCACCGGGAGGAAACCCACGCAGACACAGGGAGAATGTGCAAACTCCACACAGACAGTCACCCAAGGGTGGAATTGAACCTGGGTCCCTGGCTCTGTGAGGCAGCAGTGCTAACCACTGAGCTACTGTGCCGCCCTAAAAGCAGGAATGTACTTTATGAAGCTTTATAAAGTTATGGTCAGAAGACATCTGAAGTATTGTGAGTAATTTGGGCCCTATACCACAGGAAGGATGTACCAGCCCTGGAGCGGGTTCAGAGAAGGTTCACGAGGATGATCCCAGGAATGAAAAGCTTAACGTATGAGGATTGGTTGACGACTCTGGGTCTATAGTTGATGGAGTTTAGAAGGATGAGGGGGGATCTAATTGAAACTCAAGAATACTGAATGGCCTGGACAGAGTGGATGCTGGGAAGATGTTTCCAATGGTAGGAGAGACTAGGACCCGAGGGTGCAGCCTTAGAGTAAAGGGAAGACCTTTTAGATCAGAGAGTAGGGCCCGAGGGTGCAGCCTTAGAGTAAAGGGAAGACCTTTTAGATCGGAGAGAAGGAGAAACTTCTTCACCCAGAGTGGTGAATCTATGGAATTCATTGCCACAATAAGCTGTGGAGGTCAGGTCATTCTGTATATTTAAGACAGGGATAGGTTCTTGATTGTCAAGGGGATCAAGGGTTACAGGAAGAGAGCGGGAGAATGGGTTTGAGAAACTTATCAACCGTGATAAGATGATGATAACCATGGCAGAGCAGACTCGGAGTCATAGAGATGTACAGCACGGAAACAGATGCTTTGGTCCAACTTGCCCATGCTGACCATCCTATATCAATCTCGTCCCATTTGCCAGCATTTGGCCCACATCCCTCTAAACCGTTCCTATTCATCTACCCATCCAAGTGGCTTTTAAATATTGTAATCGTACTAGCCTCCACCACTTCCTCAGGCAATGCATTCTATATATGCAACACCTTCTCCATAAGAAATTGCTCCTTAGGTCCCTTTTAAATCTTTCCCCTCTCACCTTAAGCCTATGCCCTCTAATTTCGGACTCGCTCACCCCAGGGAAAAGACCTTGCCTATTTACCTTATCCATGCCCCTCATGATTTTATAAACCTCTAGAAGGTCATCCTTCGCCCTCTGACAATCCAGCGAAAAGTGCCCCAGCCTATTCAGCCTCTCCCTGTAGTTCAAACCCTCCAACCCTGACAAATCCTTGTAAATCTTTTCTGAACTCCGAATGGCCTGATGTCTGCTCCTGTGTCTTGTGGTCCCACTGTGTCTCGCTCGCTCTCTCGTGCTTACTCACTTTCTTCCCCTTGCACGCTCTCCCAATCCTGGTAGATATCTTCTGCATCCGCTCAACAGTCCTCTTCCGAAATCCATTCTGAGTGTCTGATTTGTGACCTTGCTCTGTATATCAGGCTCTCAATTGGTAACTTGTTTGAGCCTTTATTTCCCAATTCCCAAAGCCTCCAGTGAGCAGTCAGAGGAAACCCACGGATACTAAATCTTACCTCGATTTGATACCGGATAGGCCCTCTGAAAATTTTCCAGTTCTTTATTCACTCATGGGATGTGAGTGCCACTGGCAAAGCCAGCATTTATTGCCCATTCCCAATTGTGCTGAGACAGTGTGGCTAATTCAGCCATTTTAGCGGACAGATGAGAATCAACTGCATGGCAAGGTCTGACTTGTGATCCTCAGTCTGTTTACTGTTTACTGTTTACACAATATGTTTGCCTCTGGTCACCTGAAGTAATTGCTGACGTTGCACTGTCTCTGCCACAGTTAATTATTTTAATTAGTGGGATAAGCACATATGCGTTTCATACAAAATTTTGTTCAAAAATTGGCTGTTTGCTCAAATCACACCGGTGCCAGAGGCTTAAAGAAAGGTTGCAAGCAGCTTTGAAGGTACGAGAGATGTGAAACTTTGTCTCTGTCAACAGACGCCTGAGGAGGAACGAGGAGTCCATCATCCAGACAGCAACGGTTTCACAAGTCATGTTAACCTGCCTGATTTAGTGCGGCAGAGCCATTCCCCAACTGATCCCAAGGGACCTACCTCTCAGCAGGACGATGGGATATCAGAGGTAAGCAATGCTGTGATTTGACTGTAGCTCCCACTGTGTTATTGTAAAATTATGACCGTATCCAAACCTATTTGTAGCTTGTCGAGAGGTGAAGGGTGATGGAGGCAGATTCAGTAGTGGTATACACAAGATTCGGACAAATGCTTCAGGTGAAAGCATTTGTCAGACTTTGGGAATGGGATTAATTTGAAAGTTCTCTCAATCAGACACTGTAGAAGCACTGTCATGGGGTCAGAGAAGTCTACAGCACAGAAAAAGGCCTTTCAACCCATCGAGCCTGCGTCAGTCAGAAGCAACCACCTACCTATTCTAATCGAATTTTCAAGCTCTTGGCCTATAGCCTTTTATGCCTTGGTATCACAACTGCACTTCTAAATACTACTTAAATGCTATGAGGGTTTCTGCTTCTACCACCCCTATGGACAGTGAGTTCCAGATTCCTACCACCCTTTGGGTGAGAGAACTGTCCTCTCATCTCCTCTAAACCTCTTGCCTTTACCTTAAATCTATGCCATCTGGTCAATGAGCCCTCCACCAAGAGGGAAAAGTTCCTGCCTGTCTACCCTATCTATGACCCTCACAATTTTATACATCTCAATCATGTCCTCCCTTAGTCTTCTCTGTTCAAAGGAAAAGAAGGTCTATCTAATGTCTCTTCATAACTAAAACTCTCCAGCCTAGACTACACCCTGATAAATCTCCTCTGCACCCTCAGATCCCTCCTATGATGTGGTTCCAGAACTGCACACAATACTGAAGCTCTAGTGCACCGGCACTAACATATGTGGAAAAGTATTAAATGGTCACACGCCCTCATCTGGACTTACTGCCTGTAATAGTCTGCCATACAGTGTTGTCCTACATTTACGATGTGGAGATGCTGGTGTTGGACTGGGGTGGACAAAGTCAGCAACACCTGAAAAAGAACTGAGGCTCCAAAAGCTTGTGTTTTCAAATAAACCTGTTGGACTATAACGTGGTGTCGTGTGATTTCTGACTTTGTCCAAGATTTATGCAGCGACACCCTTTCTGGATCATCTTCCTTCACTGCACCATGTTGTGTATAAACCACACCTGTCTTGTTCAGGAAGTAGTTTGATCTCTGAAACATTCTGGGATTGAGAACCCTCCAGTTAAGGTGATAAGCGTGTTCGGTCTCCAGATCTAAACCACTGACCAGATGAGAAATTTTACCCTGAGGTCATAACTTTAGGCCTGATCTTTACCCTACAATCTTTGTGCACAGCTTGGGAAATAAATTGCAGCTTGCTATTTTGGGAAAGGTTGGACAGCTGCTGCCACTTCCAACATTACTGCACTAAAGATGGGATTTCAGTTGAACTTTGTGTACTCAAAAAGCAAGAGATGCATTTAGAGCGCAGGTTTGAGAGACAGTTTGAGGGAGTGGTACAATTTTGAATAGTCATCTTACTCAGGATAGTTCGTGCCTGTTCTAGTGCTAAAAATCCTCATCAAAGGAGCAGGAATTAATCATTTAAACCCCTTAGCTCAAGTTGAACAATTGTGCTGAATAATCTTTGACAGCAGGCTAATGCTTAATGAGCAAATTTTTGATTTTGTATGTTTTAGAACCATGTTTTAAACTTCCATTGATAATGTAGTTATAGTGGCAATTTTCAAATGCAAATATTTTCCAACAATCTTGCATTTTCTTGAATTTAAGGAAAGAGCAGGTGAGTAGGACTCACTGGCAGTTCTTTTCGGAGAAGAGGCAGGTGGGCTGGGCAGAATGGCCTCCATCTGTATTGTATATTACCCTGTGATTTATATATTGCCACAGCAAGTGTTGTCCAACAGTATGCACCTTGTCATTACAGTTTCAGTCAAGGGGCCTCGTAAAATCGCCTGGGAAGTCATCATTTACCACCTTTGTTGATCTTGGAATGTACCAGATGGATGCTGGTGGGGATACGATACAAATTGGTGGTGAGTATGGAGATCTATCCTGACTGGACTTAATTTGCTCTTTGCCTTGCTGGAAGAAAGCTGAACTGTTGGGCTCATGTTGCCATTTATGCATTTACTACATGATAGTATCTGCATTTTGAAAACTTTCATCCCTATTTTAAAATTCAGCACCTTTAGCATGGTGAAGCTCCCTGAGGTGTCCCAAAGGAGGACTGTCAAAGGAAACTTTGCACCCAAATCACCTCAAGTAATTGGGGACGGGTAGACTTGGAGAAATAAGAGGAAGGAGAAAGTAAGAGGAGTTTTTGTGGGGAGGAAATTCTGGACCTTCTGATGGTTTAGCTATCTGAAAGCATGGTCAGCATTTGGACAAAGGAATTTTATGGAAGATTGTGCTGAAAGCTCAAATTGGAGGAGCGCAGAATTCTCGGTGGTTGGAGCAGGGGTGGGAAGTGTTGGCCTGGCAGATGCCACAATGCTTAGTTGTGAGGCCCCAGAGAGCCTGGAAAATCGTGGTGAAAATTTAAAGAGCAAGGTGTTGCTGGAATTGCCGTGTTATGGATGGGGGTTGCTAATGATTTCCTGACTTCTGTCATTGATCAGGATTGATTTAGAATATAGTTAGAGTCTTTTTCTTAACATTGTGTTTTTGAATAAAGACTTTGTCTGCGCAATTCATCAACTCCTGCCAGTATCAGAACAGGAAGAGAAAAAGAATATTTTGTTTTGCCAATCAACTCCTCCATTCATATCTGGCACCTTCTAGGTCTGAAACCACTGTCAGGGCACACGTGGGATGGATCAGGAAATTGTGTAGTTGGCTTAGTCCCTGTCTTGCCCACAGATTCCTTGCTTACCAGGCCTGTTGTTGATGCACCACTTCCAAAGACTCGGCCATCAAGTGATAATCCAATGGCTGTCTTGTGTTAGGCTTCAAAAAGAACCTGGATCATGTTTATCGAGAGCAGCACCAGCAGGTGGCGCACATGTGCTTTCTGTCATGAGCCAACACAAGTTGTATCTCATGGCCCATTTGCAAACTCACGAGGCAGCTCCTAATCATGATTGGGACTTTCAAAGTAATCAATTACTAATAATTGCAAGATGCTGCCGTCTGTGGCGATGCTGCCATCTCCTTGCTCACTTACTCCTACCCTCCTACCCCTCTTGCTGACTCTCATACTCACATTGGTCAAAACTGACCATTAAATTCCACATGCTTAACGGATTATTTTACAATATGAATGTCAAATTACAGGAATCAAAATCTGCAATGCATTACTTGAAAGGGACACTGCAATTAATTGTACTTCACCTTTAGAGTCCAGCACTTTCTGTATATTAATTGGAACTTATCAGAGTTTTGATGGGTTTATGAGCCAGAGAGCTTCTGATGTGATTCTTGAAATAATTCAGATTCTTGTGATCTAGCTTTGTCTAATGTTGAGCCAGTGCATGTTGTGGTCGTTTGCAATCTAATTCATACCAGATTTAGTTGGAAACCTGATCTCTAACCGGCTGGTCATAGCTTAGAGCTATGGAATATTATAGTTAGAAAAATTACTTCATACAGTGGTGGTCAAGATAATATCAGTCATTTCTTTCAAGTGGGTAGGCTATAGGAATTTTTACCTTTATTGCAAGTAATAGGGTTCACAAATCAAAGAATTCGATTGCCTTGGGCTTCAAGAATCTCTCAAAAGTGTTGCATGTCAATAACCTTACCTGCAGATTTATCCAAGGATGCTTTCAATCTGTAGAACCACCTCCTCCATTGGTTCTTAACACTGAGGGTTCCTGATCCTAACTGTCCCTCTGTCAGGAAATGATAGTGTGCAACCAGTCCCCACCTCAGCAATCTGGTTTCTTCAGCCTCTCTTGCTGTGAGTAGCTAAAAATGCAATTGACACTTGAGTCCTCAAGGATCTGTCTGGACAATGGTCAGTGCAAGCCAGAATGCCAAATGATGCACGGGGGTTTTGATTAGGTTTGTTGATTCTCCAATTAAGCATGATGATTGACTCTCTCTTCCGCTTTTAGGTTTAAGTATCAGTGATGGAGGTGGATTAAACCAACTGAAGTATGAGGACAGGAAGTGCTCGGTGGTGAATGTCAATCCGGCCAACACACGACCGCACAGTGATACACCCGAAATACGCAAATACAAGAAACGTTTTAATTCTGAAATACTTTGTGCTGCTTTGTGGGGTCAGTAACTGTAATATTGCTTAATGTTTGATGTTGTGCTGGTTTCCACTTGAATGCATTGGCCTCATGTTTTGTGAAAATTGCTTGCTTCCATTGTTTCACGTGGATTTATTGACTTCCAACATAATGGACAAGGCACACAAATATAATGCTGCAAATATTGTGTAAGAGTTCACTCCAGAAAATTTCTTTAGCAAGGAGACACTGGTTCAATGAAAGAAAGTCAATTTAATAGCACAAAGATCCCTGTTTATACATGGTGGACAGCGTACAAATGTCCCTCCAAATATAACAGTGGAGCTGAAAACTTTGGAACTGGTTAAGGAACAACAAAATTCTGCATCAGAGGGATTTGAGAGGGTTTTCATCCAATCTTTAGCACACAAGAACAGTTCATTCTACTGTTTATACTGTTTGGGAGCTTCTCTCCCACACCCTCCTTCCCCATGTTTAACCACCTCCTGACAAACCCAACATCTCACCAATCAGCAAGTCCAAATGGGTGATGGACTAAGGTTTGCTGAATGGTTGCCTTTTATCCAGAAATACCTCACTTTTTGTGCCAACTGGTGCAATTCAAAACCTAGCAGAGAGTGTTACACATGGGGGTCAATAGAGCTGCTGACTTTACAGCTGGTAATAAAGAGAGTGGTTTAATTCCTTTCATATTTAGTCTTTGAAAGACTGAGTTGCCTTCTGAAGTGTTCTTGACATTGTAGTGTGAACCTTTGGCAGGTCTTGCTGTGATTCGGGTCAGTCACACTTTCACATCTACTTTCTCCTGACTCCCAGATCTCAACTCAGTTGTTCAACAATATTAAATTTGTTTATGCTCACAGCCAACTACTAGCATCACAGCTCCTGTTACCTGTGAGATCAGTCCAGCAGTTTGAGTTGCAGATACAATTGGCATATTTCTAACATATGGTGTAGCTCGCTGTCTCCTCCAATCCAGTTCTCGTCCAGTCCCCTGTCCCAAATTAAAGTTAATAGCAATTGGTGATGCGGCAAGTCCAAATCACGGTAGAGCTGGTTGTATAGTTTTCCCTTTTAATTTCAAAGCAAGTATTCATTGTATGGCAGGGATTAATCTCCCTCAACGTGCCCACATGCAACCTGCATGCTAAAATGATCACTCACTGCATTATACCCAGCTTTTATTAATGGCTTTCTGGAGCTCTATGCATGGGAACAGGAGGAGGCTATACAGCCCCTCCAACTTGAGCCACCATTCAATAAATTGCCTATCCCAGCTTTAAATGATAGAGCACCCAAAACCTCTGGTAGGCTCAGCCCAGAATTTATACACCTTTCTTAGAAGTAAGACGCATTTCCCATCCTGCCTTTATGTGCTCGCAGCACTCTTTTAAAAAGAAATCTGTCAGCCCCATTGCAAGGGATTGGTGTCCTTAAATTGAATTTGACATTGTATTTTTACAGATAATGTTGCAGGTAGGTGGAGGGACAGGTAGTGTTCAAGAAGCGGGGAGGCTGCAGAAGCACTTGGACGTATTAGGAGAGTAGGCAAAGATGTGGCAGATGGAACCCGATGCGGCAAAGTATGAGGTTATACATTTTGGACGCAAGAATAGAGGGATAGATTATTTTCTAAACAGGGAAAGGTTTCGGAAATCTAAAGCGCAAAGGGTTTTGGGAGTCCTAGTTCAAGATTCTCTTAAGGTTATTGTGCAGGTTCAGTACAGTAGCCAGGAAGGCAAATGCAGTGTTGGTATTCATTTCAAGAGAGCCAGAAAACAAGATCAGAGATGCACTGCTAAATCTGTATAAGGCACTGGTCAGACCACATTTAGAATATTGTGAGCAGTTTTGCAGCCCAAATCTAAGGAAATATGTGTTAGCAATGGAGGGGGTTCAGAGGAGGTTTACAGGAATGAACCCTGGGATGGAGGATTTGTCACACGAGGAGCAGTTGAAGACTATGGATCTGTAAAACATAGAAAATTACAGCACAGGACCCACAATGTTGTGCCAAACATGATGCCAAATTAAACTAATTCCTTCTGTCTGACCTTGGTCCATATTCCTCCATTCCTTGCACATCTATGTGCTTATCTAAAAGTCCTTCAAACACCCCTATTGTATGTGCCTCCACCACCACCCTGGCAGTGCATTCCAGACTCCTACCATTCTCTGTGTTTAAAAAAAAAACTTGCTCCTCACATCTCCTTTGAACTTTTCCCCTTTTCATTGTAAATACATTCCCCCTAGTATTAGACATTTCAACAACTCTGGGGAAGAAGATTCTGACTGTCAACCCTCTCTATGCATCTCATAATTTTATAGACCTCTATCAAGTTCCCCCCAGCCTCCGCCGCTCCAGAGAAAGCTGGGTTTTACTAGCCTCTCCTTGTAGCTCATACCGTCTAATCCAGGCAGCATCCGGGTAAACCTCTTCAGCACCCTATTCGAAGCCTCCACATCCTTCCTGTAATGTTGCAATCAAAATTGAATGCAATACTCTAGGTGTGACCAACCAAAGTCTTATAAAACTGCAGTATGACCAATAAAGGCAAGCATGCTGTACATCATCTTTACCACCCTATCTACTTGTCTGGCCACTTTCAGGGAGCTATGGACTTGAACCCCAAGATCCCTCTGTAAGTCAATGCCATTCAGAGTCCTGCCATTTACTGTATACTTTTCCTTAGCATTTTATGTCTCAAAGTGCAGCACCTCTCAGTTACTCCATCTGCTATTTCTCCGCCCGTACCTGTAACTGATCTATATCCTGCTGTATCCTTTGATAACCTTTTACACTATCCACAACTCTGCCAATCTTTGCTTCATCTGCAAACCTAACTAAACCACCTATCTATGTTTTCCTCCAAGTCATATATATAAGCAGAGGTCCCAGTGTGGATCCCTGCAGAATGCCACTAGTCACGACCTCCATCCTGAAAAGCACCCTTCCACCACATCCGCCTTCTATGGGCAGGCCAATTCTGAATCCACACGGCCAAGTCTCCATGGATCCTGTGCATCTTAATCTTCTGGTTGAGCCTGCTATTAGAGACTTTGCCTTACTAAAATCTATGTAGGCAACATCCACTGCTCTACCCTCATGATCACCTTTGTCACCTCCTCGAAAAATTCAATCAAGTTCGTAAGACATGATCTGCTCTGCATAAAGCCATGTTGACTGTCCCTACTTAGACCATGCTTAATGGAGTTTAGAAGGATGAGGTGATCTGATTGGAATTTACAGGATATGGAAAAGTCTGGACAAAGTGGAGGGGGAGAATATGTTTCCATTAGTAGGAGAAACATGGACCTGTGGGTGCAGCCTTAGAGTGAAAGCACGACTGTTTAGAACCAAGACGAGGAGGGATTTCTTCAGCGGGAGAGTGGTGACTGTGGAACTCATTGCTGTGGAGAGCTGTGAAAGCTAAGTCATTGAATATATTTTAAGACAGAGAGATATATTTGATTGGTAAGGAGATCAAGGATTATGGCGAGAACACAGGAGAATGTTTCTTCTGCCCCAATCAGCCATGATTGAATGGTGAAGAAAACTGAATGGGCTGAATGGCCTAATTCTCCTATATCTAATAGTCTTATTTTTATTTAGCCTGTTCTTCTAATCAAACTGTTCAGAGATGTTATTACACACCGCTGGAGTAGTGGGACTTGAGCACAAGCTGCTTGGTCCAGGGATAGGGACACCACCACTGTGCAGTAAGAGGGCCGCATCTCCTGGTCTTATTATATCACCAAGCCTTACTGTACTGGTATAGCCATGTTCTGCAAGTTGCTTTATACACTTGGGAGCTTTTTAATTGCTTGGTACATTTTGCTCAGATGATTAATGTCGCTTTTCTATTAGTCTGAGTCCCTCTTGTGAAATTAACTGAAGTGAGTTGAACCTCTTGACCAGTGCTGCTGTTGGTGTAATGGAAGCATGGGAATTGAGCCTAATACTGGAGGAGAAACAGGTTGAAAACTATTCAATAGCTGGCACTATCCGCTGTTACAGCCTTGGTGCTTCACACCTCCTTGATCCATGCTAGACCGTTCATATCCATTTCCATCTTGTTCAAGTCACGCTGACTGCTTATCGTTTTGTGGGAGGGCAGAAGTCCTGGAAATGGAAACAAATTGTATTAGATAAAATCTGAAGGACGCAACATGTCAGAAGCATTTGGCTTCTAAAAGACAAGTCAATATTTTGCAGGCAGACACCTTTTCACAAATTGAGGGATGGGCAGTACAAAGAATCTGCCCAAAACATGGTCAAAAATTGGAAATAAAACTCAGTGTATAGATAGCAGACCAGTTGAGCCAAAAATGCCAATAATCAAATTGCGTGTGACATTTAAGGACATTCGTGTGCGACAGTGCAGAAAGGGCTGTGATCCTGATCCTTTGTATCTGAGGTCTCCAATAACTGGATGGATGGACAAAATGTGAGTTTTTGGCCTCAAAGGTTTACAGAAGGGTGATCTGATGGAAGATCATTGAGCGAGCAGACAAAGTAAATCTGGAAAGTTGCCCCTGAACTAAACAGTAAAGGCAATGTTGGTAATCCTAGTATTAGACGGGGAGGCAAGAGCATGGCAAGAAGCAAGGGAAGTCTGGGTTAAACTGTGTTTATTTCAATGCTAGAGGCCTGACACATAACGCAAGTGAATTTGGGGCATGGATGGGTACGTGGGACTGGATATTACAGCTATTAGAGAAACTGAGTGAGGGACAGGACTGGCAGCTCAGTGTTCTGGGGTGCAGATACTATAGGAAGGATAGAAAGGGAGGCAAGCGAGGAGAGAGAGTTGAGTTTTTAATTAGGGAGAATATATGGGTAGAACTGAGAAATAAAAAAGTGGGAGATCACTTCGATAGCATTGTACTATAGGCCCCCCAGTAGTCAGCAGGCGATTGAGGAACGGATATGTAAGGAGATTGCAGATAGCTGTAAGAATAATAGGGTGGTAATAGTAGGTGATTTTAACTTTCCTAACATCGACTGGGACTGCCATAGTGTTAAGGGCTCAGACGGAGTGAATATTGTTAAGTGTGTCCAGGAAGAATTTGTCATGCAGTATGTAAAGAGCTCTACTAGAGAAGGGGCAAAACTTGACCTCTTCTTGGGGAAATAAGGCAGGGCAAGTGAAGGAAGTGTTAGACGGGGAGCACATTGGAACCAGTGACTATAATTCCATTAGTTTTAAAATAGCTATGGAAAAGGATAGGCTTGGTCCATAGAATTTAGTAAGTTTGTAAGTAAGTTTGTGGATGACACCAAGATTTTTGGTACAGTGGACAGGTGAAGAAAATTATCTGGGAATAGTAAGATCTTGATCAACTGGACCAATGGGCTGAGGAATGGCTGTTGGAGTTTAATTTAGGTAAATGCAAGGTTTTTTGCATTTGGAACGGCAAATCAGGGCAGGACTTACATAATCAATGGTAGGGCCCTGGGGAATGTTGAGATCTAGGGGTACAGGTTCATAGCTCCTTGAAAGTGGAGCCACAGGTAGACAGGGTGATCAGAAAGCTTTTGGCAATCTTGCCTTCATCAGTCAGAGCATTAAATATAGGAGTTGGGACGTCTTGTTGCAGCTGTACAGGATGTTAAGGCCAATTTTGGAGTACTGCATGCAGTACTGGTCATCCTAGTATAGAAAGGATGTTATTAAACTAGAAACAGTGCTGAAAAGATTTATTACCTGCACAAATGAACAAGCAAGAAGTTCATTACAGCCAGTACCATCAAGTTGTTAAAACCTGCTCACAGCCACGTATAAACATGTAGCAGATTTCCAGGTGGCTTTGTGGTTGTGAAAATTCCTCAAATCTTTAAAACACAGCTCTGGTGGATAATACAACACTGTAGGGTTTTGGTGACTTTTTCAATGGGCTTACTGACATTTGCAAGCTGTAAATACCTTGTGACACTTTGTTTTAAAATGATGCTTTGATCTTGGAATAAAAGTTGCACCAGCTTAAAATGGTGAGCTGTCCTTAACTGAGACCCACTATCCACTTTTTTTTTGGTCTAATTTATATCTCTAAGACAGGTTACAGTGATGGTTTCAATTCTGTGCATTGTATTAGTGCTATCATCAGAGAGTTTGCCAAAACCTTCTGCACATCATCAGTTCTTCTTCCAGGGAAGGTACAGAAGAGGTTTACCAGGATGCTGCCTGGAAAAAGAGAGTATGAGCTATACGGAAAGGCTAGAAAAACTCAAGTTGTTTTCTCTGGAGCGGTGGAGGCCGAAGGGAGAAGTGATAAAAGTCTATAAAATTATGAGATGCCTAGATAGGGTTGACGGTCAGAATCTTTTTCTCCCCCAGAGATGAAATGTTTAATACTATGGGGCATGTGTTTAAGGTGAGAGAGGGATAGTTCAAAAGAGATGTGAGAGGTAAGTTTTTTTTACACAGAATGCTCTGCCGGGGTGGTGGTGAAAGCAGATATGATAGGGGTATTTAAGGGACTTTTGGATAAGTGCATGAATATGCAAGGAATGGAGGGGAATAGACCAAGAGCAGGCAGGAGGGATTAGTTTAATTTGCTGTCATGTTCAGCACAACATTGTGGGCTGAAGGGCCTGTGCTGTACATTTCTATGATCTATGTTCTATGTCACTGAGACCTTCTCCACAAGAAAACAGGCATTTTGACCTTGTGCTGCTGCAGCTTGCAGTGTTCTTGTAATCTGGTATTTTGAGATTCCAAATCTGACCTGACACTAGATCATAGGACTTTTATTCCGTAACCTGGTTTAGTACACTCTCAGGCTAGAACTTTTGGGCCCTTCCATAGTGGAGAAATGCACTTTTTTTTTGTTTGTTCATAGGTTGAGGCCATCGCTGGCTGGGCCAGCATTTATTGCCCAGAGGGCAGTTAAGAGTCAACCACATTGCTGTGGGTCTGGAGTCACACATGTAGGCCAGACCAGGTAAGGATGGCAACTTCCTTCCCTAGAGGATATTAATGAACCAGATGGGTTCTTCCCGACATTGTCAGGAAAATAAATTCCAGGTATTTATTGAATTCAAATTCCACCATCTGCTGTGGTGGGATTTAAACCCAGGTCCCCAGAATGTTATCCGGGTCCCTGGATTAACAGTCCAGCGATAATATCACTTGGCTATCACCTCCCATCATGCATTGCATTGGACTGCAGAGCTGGGAATGATGGCTGCCAGTTTTGAGCTTTTAGTACAGACGGGAATGCATCTTTAAGCTGATACTTTCAGTGGACTCCAGAGGAGGTGCTGCACTGTTAGAGGTACTTTTTTCAGATGAACAATGAACTGACACCCTGACTGCCTGTTGTGTGGTTGTGACTTGCTGGACTATTGGTAGAAGGGCACTCATTTCTGCTTGTGTTTTGGCCAATCACTAAAAATAGTCTATCTTTTTCATTTGGTGTATGTGGAACCTTGCTGTACATGGATGAATTGCATACAACACAACCATAGTTGTAAAATGCTTGGGGATGTGCAATTAGCTTTTTAATAATTTTTTTTCAGTCCTCCTCAGTTTGGTGTACACTTTCTTTTCTTCCTCACTTTGCACTCACATTCTTAGTCACCTCCCACTTTTTGTTCACTTTCTCTGCCCCTATTTCCTCAGATTTGTGACCAGTCAGTACTGTGTTAACAAAGCTTTGTTGTTCTTCTGGTTGTTCTGTGCCTTGTTCATTGTACAATCTGTGTTTGCTGAAGGTGTGAATCTGCTGGTGGGCACAGAGAATGGGCTGATGCTGCTTGATCGTAGTGGGCAGGGCAAAGTCTACAGCCTCATCAGTCGCCGACGCTTCCAGCAGATGGACGTTTTGGAAGGACTGAACCTCCTCATCACTATATCGGGTGCGTATCATTTAGAGACTGATTTTGAAGTCACTACGCAGAGCAGGAACATGCAGTGAGAAAGCTTCCTATGTAAAATGGAGGTAGGACTTCAGAAAACTGTGAAATCTGAGTACTGAGGAATGTTATTTTATCCTTACCCTATTGCACAGCCCTTTCCACCAAGCTTAGTGGGCAGGAATTGAGAACAGGAATATTTTCCAGTTGCCCCTGTTTTCCCACCGTTATCCCGATCCGGGGACCAGTTGCAGCACAATGAGCAATTCAGGTAAAGTCAGAAACATCTGTTCCCATGATATGCCACACCTTGATTGCATGAGCAGCATAATTCACTGCCTCTAGCTCATGATGGTATGGAACAGTAAGGTCCTCTGAGTTGGTCTGAAGAAGTCCCCTTCCCTCAAAGGAATTCATTTAATAAATATGGAATTAAAATTTTGTCTGATGGTGACCATGAAGTCATTGTTGTTAAAAACCTGTGGTTCACTAATTTCCTTTTTAGGAAAGGAAATCTGCTGCCCTTGCTCAATGTGGTCTACCCTTGACTCCAGGCCCACAGCAATGCAGTTGACTCTTAAGTGAAATGGCAGAGTAAGCCATTCAGTTCTAGGGCAGTTAAGCACTGGTGATGGCTTTGTCAGTGATGCCCGCATCGCCTGAAAAAAATGAAGGCAATAAAACCTCCCAAAAGAAGTAAAGATGAAAAAGAACCCCCAACATTACCATACAGCACGTGCTTGCTTCAATCCCCTCTACGTCTCCCAAGGGGAGAAAAAGAATGATGGCTCTTCATTACCATGAAGAGAAATTGCTAATATCTGGTTGTTAAAGTTGCTGAATTCTGTTTCAAATGTTGTATTCCCCACCCGCTCAGGTAAACGGAACAAACTGCGTGTGTATTACTTGTCCTGGCTGCGAAATAAGATTTTACATAATGATCCAGAGGTGGAGAAGAAGCAGGGCTGGACCACGGTGGGAGATATGGAGGGCTGCGTGCACTACAAAGTGGGTAAGTAAAGAGCTAAGCATCACTGAGGTGACTAATTCCTGACACATGTTGGACTTACAATCACATGCAGCAAGTGAGTGTGAGCCAGCAAACGTAGCCCTGTCAGTTGGACAGTTCTAAAGGGAATGGTACTTCTCATACAACGAATGTCTCTTCTGAAAAGAGCTTGGTTCAATGGGCAGTCAGCGTTTCAGCAGATGGTGCTCCCTGCTACATTGAAAGGTCTGTATTTGCAATAACCCACGTTTAAGATCGAAAAATGGAGAGTCCTTGTTGACCACACTGATTATTAGTTCAATGCTTGGACAAGACATTGATAGGAGTGACTGAAAAACCAGCTATCTAGTACACTTTAGTAGCTGCCAAGGCTCATCTATCAAATGGGATTGTGGGTGCAAATGCGTTCGATTTCAAAACATACTTCAGTGTAGTTGGAGAGCATTTAATGTAGTCGAGGGACGAGCGTGATGACTTAACTGGTCGTCCCTACCTCTGGATTGTACCGTAAAGATTAGAGGCATTTTGACCCAATTTGCTGTGAGGAAATCCCACACAATTCGGAGCCATGTGCTGAGTTATACAGCATAGAAACAGGCCATTCGGCCTGTTGACCAACAAACACCAAACTACACTAATCCCATTTACCTGCACTTGGTCGGTAGCCTGCTATGTTCTGGCATTTTAAGAACTCATCCAGGTGCTTTTTAAATGCTGAGAGTACCTGCCTCGACCACCCTCTCAGGCAGCGTGTTCCATATTTCTGGCTTCTTGGGGTGGAAAAAAAAGTTCCTGAGATCCCCTGTTAAACATTTACTTTCATTTTACACCCACAAGTGCACAGTTTCTAGCAGGGTGGCAATGGAGAGGAATCACAGCTATTCCTGTCTTTGGTCTCAGTTGTAGTATCAAGGGAGAAACCTTAGCTACTCCTCTTTGACATTGGCCATTTACAGTGATCAGCTGCCGCCAAGGTGAGCAACTTGTATGTAGATTATTTTTATTACACTTTGCCTCTGTTTCAGCTGCTCGGTGTATTAACTGACTGTGGATGTTAGAAATCAAAGTCGAAACGAAAAATGCTGTGAATACTCCCCAGGCCAGGCAGCATCAGTGGAGAGAGAAACAGAATTTTTCTTTTAAGCCATTGACTTTTCATCAAAACCTTTCACTCTCAGCTCTGCAACCTGAAAGGTTAACTGTATTTCTCCTACCACTGGTTTTGTACTTCAGTGCATTAACCTATTGAGATGCATAAGGTCATGAAGTATTGTTGCTTAATTTTTACCATTATTGTAAATGCTGTGCTGTGATTGAGTGGAGTAATCTGAGTTCATTCCGTTTCCTTCCTACCCCTCGAGGGATGGACGAGCTCAAAAGACTGGCTGCTGCAGAAAGCTGGCTACACCATCCCCAGTCACAGGATCAGGTTTATCATCTATGATCTTGAACTTCATGGGAGATGTAACCTTTCCATTGCTATTTACTCTACAGTGAAGTACGAGAGGATCAAGTTCCTGGTTATTGCTCTGAAGAACTCGGTTGAGGTCTATGCCTGGGCTCCGAAGCCTTACCACAAGTTCATGGCTTTCAAGGTCAGGTTTCATTTCATAGCTGCTCTCCATAATAACCTTCACCTTAATAGTCGATGAAAGACAAAGCCTGTTAATATTACAGATAGAAAGGGCGTGTATTTGACAAAAATAGTCCAGCAAAGCCGAAGATGAGAATCATTTCTGTTGGAGTTAACAAGCATTAGGAGATATTTCAGTACTTGGTGAATTTTAAAAGCCGCTAATTCAAAGGGGGATGTCAGAATAGATTTGCAACAAAGAAATGACTGAGAGTTGCATGAAATATGGTGAATGATAAGGAGGCCCTGTTGGCTAGTGGTAATACAGCCCTGCAAGCTGGTGCCGATAGCGGTTGCCCATGAGGTGTGGTTATAACTGGAGCAATATTGTTGGAAGAATGATGTAAACAGTTTAGGTGAAATAGTGCAATTTTAAATTTGACAGTGAAAAGCGGGGTCTGGGGGTGTTTGTACTCGCATCCCTGAATGTGCAGGTCAAGTTAATTGAGCAATTGATAATCACAATAGATTCTGAGCTTTGTAAGTTACCAAAGCCAGGCAGTTAGGCTGAACTTTGAGAACATACCTGGACTCTTGTGTGCTCTCCATATGAAATTGTAGGAAGATCCTGAAGGTCTTGGATATAAAAGAGATCCATTATAGTGGTTCCAGGGATGACTGATTAATGGTTGGGACCCTAAAGATGAAAGACACGGGGAAGAAGCAAGCCATGATCCTATGTCTCCACCTTTGTCTTGCTGGATAGGTCAGACAAACAGTAGCTCTTCCTCTTCAGAGAAGGTTGAGGTGATTTGATGGAGATGTTTAATTTTACGAAAGGGTTGGGGAGGTATTGGCCTAGTGGTATTATCACTGGAATGTTAATCCAGAGATCCAGGTAATGTTCTGGGGATCTGGGTTCGAATCCCACCATGGCAGCTGGTGGAATTTGAAATATCTGGAATTGAGAGTCTAATGATGACCATGAATCCATTGCTGGTTGTCAGAAAAACTCCTCCGGTTCACTAATGCCCTTCCGGGAATGCTTACCTGATCTGGCCTACATGTGACTCCAGACCCACAGCAATGTAGTTGACTCATAACTGCCCTCTGGGCAATTAGGGATGGGCAATAATTGCTGGCCTGGCCAGGGTGCCCTCATCCCATGAATGAATAAAGAAAAAAGTCAGAAAACTGACGGTGCAAGTGTTTCCAGTGACTGAAGGGTCAGTAGCCAGAGCACAATAGGCAAAAGAGCCAGAGATGACGTGAAGGTGATGGTCTTTGAGCAGTGAATGTTCTGATTTGGCGTGCAAGGTAGAGAAAAGATGAAAAAGGAGAAATACTTGAAAATGAATTGCAGGGCTATGAGTAAAGAGTCAGGTGGCGGGTTAGACATAAAAAGCTGGATTGTACTTCAAGTGAGCCCATTCTAAATTGATGGACCAAAGGTCCCCCCCTCTGCTGTGCTATTGTGTCGTTCCATTAAAGTGGACAAATGATGGTCAGGAATCTGCTTCACAATTGACTCTGTTTTCGAACTTAAAACATTAATCATGCGACCTATGCCTGTTCCCTTGGTGAGTGTGATTAGTAGATTATAAAGAGAGTGAAAAGCTTCATTTACGTGCCTGTCACAGGCTGAAGGTGGTCTAATTATTTTTTCCTGAAAATACTTTTGAACTGTAGTTTCTGTTGTAATATGGGAAAGGTAACTAGTAATTGAAATGTCCTACAGACGACGAAATGACCAGATCATTTTTTTAAAATAATCTGTTTGGATATTTGAGGAAGATATTTGAAATAAAACAATGGGTCATTCTGGACTGAGCCTCTTTTTAAAATAGTGTCCTTGATAAAATCAGTGTGTTTGGTCAGCATTGTTAGAAAGCACTAATTATTGAAAAGTTTGCTGGAGAGAGAATTTCATTTGTTTCCATTTCTTTTCCAGTCGTTTTCAGATCTGCCTCACAAACCAACACTGGTTGACTTGACTGTAGAAGAAGGTCAGAGGTTGAAGGTTATATATGGATCCATTACAGGTTTTCATGCAGTTGACGTGGATTCTGGAAACACCTATGATATTTATATCCCAGTGCATGTGAGTTGTAAGGAGTTGGTGCTTTTTCCTTCACATTGAAACCACCACCTAGAAATATTCCTTTCTATAGATAATATAATGACTTTTGTGGAACCTGTTGCTAGGTTTTCTCCACTGCGGGTTGAAAACAGAAGAGTTTAGGACACAGATTTGGTCATTGTTGCTGTCTGTGTCCGTAAGAGGGGCTGAAACTTTCACTTAGAGATGATGGTAGGAGTCAAATTCTGAACCTACTTTTCACACATGGTGCAGGAACTTGCAATTCAATCCTTGAAAAGCCAGGCAATAATTGGAATTTCAAAACTGCAACAGATATTTGTCGAGTAAGAGCGTTGAAAGATATGGGTCAAAGGTGGGTAAATGGAGTTGAGATAGCAGTTGGCTTGGAGCTAATGCCAGAGATGGGTTGAATGACCAAACTGCAGTCCCCATGTACCCCTGAATCTTCTGATTTCTTTCTCCCTGTAGATTCAGACCCACGTCGTGCCTCATGCCATTGTCATTCTACCCAACACAGCGGGAATGGAAATGCTTTTGTGCTATGAAGATGAGGGAGTTTATGTGAACACTTATGGCCGGATCACCAAGGATGTGGTGTTGCAATGGGGTGAGATGCCGACCTCTGTTGGTAAGTTGCCCATGCAAAGATCTCTCCATGGGGATTTCTTAGTTTTTTCCAAATTCCCTGTTTATTCCCTGAGGGAAGCCAGGCTGTAGCTGCTGAGTGTAGTCATTGCTCGCTATGTCAGGCATGGAGCCAATGTCTTCGGTCCCAGCCCCATTCTCAGTGGGCAGGCCAAGTGAAAGCCCTTTAGACAGAAGTTACTGAATGTGAGGAGCCTTTGACATTTGACTCCTTCAATGTTTCATGACGGCTCTCAAATCGCAAATAGAGTTTCTAGATTTCTGTGGAGCTGTTGACTTTTTCTGCTGGGGAAGCCCTCTCCAGCTAGGGGCAGTTTCATCCTCAACACTTTTGTGTCACTTGATGTTTCTATCTATAATCAGTAGCTTTATAACTTTCAGTATCGTGCAATAAAGATTGACCCTTTTTACAATAGTCAGACTATTGTAAACATGAGCCAACATGCTCCTGCTGATGCCGATACATCATTCACTGGCCCACGTGAGAGAGCCCAGGCACATGGGACAACAGGCCATTCAAGTATAGCTGATGTCATTACATAATTACCCAGAGTTCTTCCTTGAATTCTGACTGATGTTCGCTCCACAGCAAGCATCAGCACGATGTTATTTGGTCATTGTCACGGATTCTGGGTCTCTAAGCATTTATAGACTAATACTTGGCCTCCCTTGACTGTTAATACACATATGTAGCCATCAAGACCTGAGAAGAAACTCCAGCTAGGAGCTTCTGACCCAGAGGAGTTGCGCCACAAGACTTACTCCCTTTCTGTGTAATCTTTTCCAGCCCCATAGCCCTCCTATATATCTGTGCTGCTCTAACTCTGGCCTTGTGCATCCCTGATTTTGATCACCCCCACCATTGGTAACCAAGGCTTCAGTTGCTTGTGCCCTATTCCCCCTCATGGGAACATGGTAGTGGTTGTATCATTGGACTGGAAATTCAGTGACAAACTAATCTTTGCGGATAAGGATATAAAACACACCATGGCATCTGGTGTAATTTAAGTTCAACAAGTGAATGTGCAATTTAAAGATATTTTCAGTGGTGGTGATCATGAAACTATCATTGCTGTTAAAGTCCATCTGGTTCACTAATGTCCTTTTAGGAAAGGAAATCTGTCATCCTTGCACAGTCTGGCCTATTGCAGACTCACTGCAATGTACTTAACTCTTAACTACCCTCTGAAACAGGCTTGCATCTCTACTAATCTCATGATGTGGCTCGGTATCACATTTTATTTTGTGAAGTACAGTGGGATGATTTGTTCAGTTACTTATAAATATAAGTTTAAATAACTTATAAATATAAGTTATAAATAAATTTATAAGCTATTGTTGAATAGTGACAGGACAGCTGATGTATGCGTGCAGCTGTGAGCAACCCTCCCAAAGTCCAGTAACACTCTCGAGCTGATTTCCCTTGTGATTCCTCTTGTAACTCTGCATTGTATGTTTACTCAGCATACATCTGCTCGAACCAGATCATGGGTTGGGGTGAGAAGGCAATTGAAATTCGCTCTGTCGAAACGGGTCACCTCGATGGCGTTTTCATGCATAAAAGAGCTCAGCGGCTAAAGTTCCTCTGTGAGCGAAATGATAAGGTAACAGTCCATACTGTGGAATGTGAAGTCTCTCGTGGCTCTCTTAGTGAGGGTCAAAAGTAACTGAGTCTCTCAAAGCTGGGAACACTTCTGTTTCAATCCCAAGTGCACATCAGCACTGGCTGAGGGGGCAAAACAGTCACTGATCAATTAAGGATCTGTTCAACTTGTTGCAGTTTGAAAGGAGATGTCAGGAGCACTCTGACCCACATCCTACCTTTTGACTGACATATCAGAGAGAACCTAGAGTTTTTGACTCAGTATGTCTAAAAGTTGGGTTGGGACATGAGCTAAGAAAGAAGGGTGCTATGTAGAGATGGGGCAAGACCAGAACCAGGGACTAAAATACAACAACGTTGATGATAAATCCAGCTGTGATTTCAGGAGAAACTGCTTCAGCATAGACAGGAGTGGCAGTGTAAAACTCAGTAGCACAGGGAGTGGTCAAGAGTTGAACAGCTTTGAGGGAAGCTGGGTAAACAGGTGAGGAAGAAGGCAATGGAAGTTTCTGCTGATGGGGTGAGATGCAAGAAGTGGGTGGGAGGAGGTTCACATGGAACAGAAATGCCAGCATGGTGCAGATGGGCTGAATGGCCCATTTATTTTCTATTGACCTAAGGCAGAGGTGGGAGGTAGATTCTGATTAGTTTTTGGGGAAGTAGTTTTTAGATGGAAATCATGAGGGGCCTGGATAGGATGAAAAGCCAAGGTCTTTAGCCCCAGGGTAGGGGAATCCAAAACTAGAGGGTATAGGTTTAAGGTGAGAGGGGAAAGATTTAAAAAGGAACCTAAGGGGCAACTTTTTCACACAGATCGTGGTGCGAGTATGGAATGAACTGCGAGAGGAAGTGGTGGAAGTGCACATTTAAATGGCATCTGGATAGCTACATTAAAAACAAGGGATATGGGCCAAATCCTGGCAAATGGGACTAGATTAATTTAGGATATCTGGTCGGCATGGACGAGTTGGACTGAAGGGTCTGTTTCTGTGCTGTACAACTCTATGACTTTGTGGAGTTTAAAACACAAACAGGTCAGCCACAATCTTATTGGATGATGAAGCTTGCTTAAGGGGCCATGTAGCCTACTTCTCCTAATTAATTTGTTTTTGTTAGGTGAGGTTGATTTGCTTATTGACACTGGAATAGAAGTGAGGATTTTCATAGAATCCCTACAGTGTGGAAACAGGCCATTCGGCCCATTGGGTCCACACCGACCCTCCAAAGAGCATCCCATGCAGACCCATCCTGTAATCTTGCATTTTTCTCATGGCTAACCCACCTGCAAGGCAATTTAGCATGGTCAATACACCTAACCTGCACATTTTTAGACTGGGAGAAAATCGGAGCACCCGGAGGAAACCCACGCAGATGCAGGGAGAACATGCAAACTCCACAGAGTCACCTAAAGGTGGAGTCGAACCCAGGTCCCTGGCGCTGTGAGGCAGAAGTGCTAACCATGGAGTCATAGTGCCGCCACAAGATGTGGCCGCTACAACTAAACTGCAGATGACAAGCTCAACGGTATGGTGGATTGGCCATTCTAAGTTGCCCATAGTGTCCAGAGATGTGCAAGCTGGGTGGATTAGCCATAGGAAATGCAGGCTTTCAGGGATAGGGTAGGGCGGGGTGGGTGTGGGTGGGATATTCTTCTGGAGGTCTTCTGGACTTGGTGAGCTGAATGGCCTGCTTCGACACTGTAGGGATTCTATGATTCTATGATCAGCTTCTTGTTTGTTGAACCATTTGACATCTACCCTTTATTTCGCTCCAGGTGTTTTTCGCTTCTGTCCGTTCAGGTGGAAGCAGTCAAGTTTACTTCATGACGTTAAATCGGAACACAATCATGAACTGGTAAAAGGGACAACATGTTGGACTACTGAAGTGTTGGATACTGTAAATAAGGAGAACGACGCGTTTTGTAGATCAGAGCTTTAAAACAAGAGTTGAAAGGCCTCGGGAAGGTTTCTGTGGAACTTGCGGTGGATTCTCGTGCCTCAAAAGATGTTGTTGAAGCTGTTCCTTCACAATTGTTGTTTTCCTTCCCCAGGCTGGAGAATGAACTCGACAGCTTGGCTGCAGTCACCCAGCATGCTTTTCCCTTTGGACACTGAGGCTGCTACTTGTTGGTGGCATGTCACATGGATGGAGTGTGCACATGGTTGAGGTCATTGGGGAGGGTTGGAGGGTTGGGGGGTTGGCAGGAAATGGGGTGAAGGATAATGATTGGAAATAAGCCACTGTTCTAGACAGGAGAGTTGGAAGCACCCAATACCAGTGTGACCCAATCTGTGCCACCTCAGGCCTGTTGCCAACAGATACTAGTTGGGAAAGCCTGGTTTGAGCCCAGACTGGCAGTCCGGATGATTTCGGGGTATTTTATTTTGCTTATTTTAGAGTAGAACTAAAATAGTTTTGCAAATTCCTTTCATGCATCCAAACATTTGCGCAAAGAAATCATGTCTAGTTGCATCTAACTAGGAAGCTGAAAGGTGTGGGCCAATCCGTTGTTGATTTAAGGGACCATTCAAGTTGACAGAAGGATCGTACACGCCTCAGGTAAGGTGGTGAGGGGTGAATCAGAAGAGACACACCAGCATCACAGTACCATTTTTGTTAAAATGTCATCTCAAAATATCTCTTTGAGGTGTGTTTGTTTGGCGATTATAGGGCTGTACGTACAGTCTGGGCAAACCCCAGAGTCTAGATCACCCCAGATGCTTCAAAATGTCTGGTAAAGTCTTGCCTACCCACATAAAGTTCGGCAGATTGTTTGCTTGTCTATCTGACAAGTCAAATCTGTGATTTCTGTCTCTCTCTTGCCCCCTGCGCCCTCACTCTCTCTCGCCCCCTGCTTGCTCCCTCTCTCCCCTGCTGTCTCTTTCTTGCCCCATATTCACGTACTGTGTCTCTGTCGCCCCCTGCTCACATGTTCTCTCTCTCTCGCCCCCTGCTCGCATGCTCTCGCTCTCTCTCTCTCTCTCTCGTGCTCTCCCTCGCTCTCTCTCTCACACACACCCCCTGCTCATGTGCTCTCTCTCTCGCCCCGCCTGCCTCTCTGTCTCTCCCCTTCTCGGCTGATTTTGATACTGGTTAGTACAGATGAGGATGGCAGCATGTGAAAGGCATAAAATGGCTGTGACAGACCACATGGTTCCTCGCTGTTTCTCATCATTTAAACCTTACGCTCAATCTTGTGATTTCCCAATCACCCTCCCACTTTCAGGGACCACGTTCCCTTCTCAAGAGTGATCCCCTCCAGCTTCCCAACTGAGACGCATGAATGATTTCCCCTAAGTAGGTCGGGGGGAGGTACAGAAGCGTGACAAGAAATGAGGAGTGGGCCAGTGATTCCCAAAGATGGGAACAGCGTGTCCGGAATTAGCCTTTCAAGTGGTCTGCTGTTGCCATGGAGACTCCGGGATATTTGCCTTTGCGTCTTGCTGGCTGCCTTCTGTAGAGCAGGACGTGCTGGTTTAAAATTAAGCATCAGAACTTCCCCTGCAGGTGCTTATTAAAGTGACGACTGATCTCTGTCTGCCACACTGTCTGCAGAATTCCCCATGTGCTGTCCAACCCAATGTGGCTCACTGTGTCAAGTAGGAAGTCATTCAGACTGAAGCCTGCTCCCTCATTCCTGCTCCTCTGTACCGCAGCTTCCCTTTGCTGTGTCCTTCCCCGACACACTTGTCCTAGCATTTTCTCTGTCTCTCCGATTGTGTATGATCATGAGGGCCAGGTTTCTCCCTCTTTTCCTCCGTTCTTCAAGATGTCTTCTCACTTAAACCACTAGCTCGGCCTCCACCTCAGTCAGTGGGTCAGGGTCTCCCTGGAGTGAATAGCATTTTTGCTTCTGCACCGACACCAAAGGCTGTTCCAGATGGGATTCGTGGCTCGGGTGTGAGGCGTTGAACCTCGCTAGATTTTGTGGTTGGGCTTAGAAGATCAGCGTTTGTGTGTGTTTGAGATGGGGCTGTTGTCATCCAAGCTGTATGACAACAGCAAGATGGCGCGGGGCCAAACTCTCATGGGCTTCGGAACTATCCACGATTGAGGAACTGACTGCAGGCAGGGCAAGTGGCTGCATTTCATGGCAAGAGACATGTAATTCCCATTATGCTGTTTGACCTGGGACCATGATGGTAATGGTGAGGCGTTAGGGTTTCTGAATACAGCCAGGTACACTGTGAACTGACTGATTAGTGCTACTGGTTATAGGGCTTGTTTTCATGTCAGCTCTGATCATTTGGCTGCTGCTATTTGTCTGGAGTCTTACTTCGTTTTTTTTTCAGAAAATTTGGCTCGGAGACTAAGTCTGTATCCCTGTATTGTCAGAGTGTGCAGTGATGCTCCTTGAACGTGTTTTGGTTGTATCATTTGGTCTGCTCATATCTTTTGAACTTCTGTTCAATACCACTGCATTTGATGCTCTCAAAGTTCTAGCAAAATAACATTGAAGGAGCTGGGGGAGAGGAGAGAACTCCTGCTGGGGTGGGCTTGACTTTTCAGTCTGTGAACTGTCTGCAAAGCTGCAGCCTCTAGGACTCCTCATGCCTGCCCAGAAATCTCTGCCAGTTCAATGTAACCGAACATAATTTTGTGTGATGGCATTCCATTAAAATGGGATGTGTGGAATTTACAGTGTTGTTTCACATTGAGCTTGGTTTATGCAATGGTCTAGTTAGTCATGAAGTAAATTTACATTGCAGGGATTGTTGTGATGGCAATTGCCAGTGTTCTAAATGTAAATTAAATAGATTGCTACAAGCAGCAGGTAGTCTATCATTAATTCTACACCCACAACAAAAATTTGTAGAGCTGAGGATTTTGTAGACCTCTGCTATACCAAAAGCCGGGCAGCATGAATGGTAATTCAGGGAGCTGCAGTTCAGTGTGTTTATTTTTAAATCAGCTAAGTTGCAAATTTTGGTGAGATGATGAAAGGTAAGACAGTAAGTGTTTTTATACCCTCATTCGTCCTTTCCCTGATGCTGGTGAGGAGAGAGATTGCAGGCATGAGTATAATATGATAACTCGATTTGACAAAAGGGTGGAGCAGTTGATTTCACAGAGAGAAATGGGTCATGCACTGACTGGAGACAAACATGCTGTCTGTAAATGATTTAAGAGTTACTCATTTGATCTCCTGTGGTGAGGTGTTTCGGGTTTCTGAACTAATATAGTCTTGCAGTGAAGCTTCAAGAGGCCAAGGGAGTGAGCTTCGTTTGACCCATAATGTGCCATCGTAAGTCAGTTTCCATGTTAAGTTCCTCCGTTACACTCTGGCTGTCGTGTACATGTCCATTATAATTCACCCCGTGTAAACTTTCTGTGCAAATTTGTCATGTTTCAGTTACACCCTCCTGCCATAATACCTCCTTTGTAGGAGTTGGAAATTGCAACAATACAAGCCAACATTCAAATGTGTTCCGACTGAAGGCTGGAACCAGACTCCATCCAAATTGATTACTAGCTGTCTTGAACATATGTCACCATAAACGCCAAACTATAGTCCGCTTCCAATGGCTCATATAGTTGAACAAACAAGGGTTGAATAAGAAGGAAGACATCTCAATGAATCAAAAACGTACTGCTTTCATTTGATTTTCCTTTGGAAGTTGAGTTTCAAACAAAGATTGACAGGTTACCCTTACAATGCATTCTTTTGGTTGAGTGACAGGGGAGGGTGTCTGGCCGTATCTGTTGTTCCTTTGGTAGCTTTAATTCAGAACACCCCCGTGCCCATTCCCCATTCGGCACCTCCACCCCCCACCAAAAAAATAAAATCTCTCTCCTGGGGAACAGTGGATGTGGAACCTGCCCCGAAGTGTTCAAAAGCAGCAGGCCATTTGTACTGAACAAAGGCGATTCTGCGAGGATGATGTCTGCATAGGTTTCTGCCCGACATAATTCACAGTGTGATGTAAGAAACTGCCATCCCCTCTGTCTAATTTGGTATCAAAATCAGGGCCCATTCTCATTTAACTTTGAGCCTTTTTGAGAGACTGCACAGCTTTGACTCAGAGGATCTGTCTTGACAAAAATCCTTCACCCTCCCCAACCCCTTTTATTCCTGTAAATAGCTTTAAATGTTCACCCTATACTATAGGGTCAAAGTGACATGTGAACTAAGTTTTCTTCTTTTTGGCAGAAGAAAAGGCATTAAGACAATCGAGATGAGGGTGAGTGTTTGGGTACTCTGTGCACTCGCATGGAGGTTCCGTGTGCGTACAAGAACTCCAGGTTGGATTCAAGTGAGCATTCATTGTCAGTGGAACTTCTAGTGTTGGGGGATTTGGCCAGGGAGGCGGCTGTTTCCCTGCAGTTGCTATTGTAAAGGAGAAGCAGTTGGGAATAACTATTTTTAAAAGGTTATAGATTTAATTCCTCGTCCTGCATAGCAGGATGAAGGAGACTATTAAGTTGTGCACTGCTCAATCGCACTCCCAGTCATTTTAAAGAAAAATATTGCACATCTGAGTGAACTCATGTCCTTGCCAAGTATGTTCAAAACCTCAGGGTCACTGGTGTTTGCTGAGTTGTGCTCTTTTTTCCCTCATTTGTCTCAAGGCAGTCACATTGTGTGGGGTTACTTTCTATGGTCCCATTCATTCTGCTTTTTGCTCCCACTGCCATCACGTGCCAGTGGTTTTGAACTGGATGTGCTTTATGCCAGTCATATCCTGCGTATGTTGCCAACAGCTCCCAGATTGGAGTGGCCTTCCTGGTCAGCCTTTCTCTCCCTTTGAAGTAGGGATAACTTCTGTGTGGTTAGTACCCCCAGCCAAGACCTAACCCTAATTCTTCCCTCTTTACCTGCCCTTGCTTTGCTGCTCTTCGCCCGAGAGCAAGGAGGAAGCTTGAGGTGGAACGATTACATTGCAAGGTTGCTTTTATTGCTCTTGTTGATCATGTAGAGAGAAGTATCTCTCACTGAGGAATTCTGCTTACATTTGCTCCTTTGAATTTTGATGCTATCTTCGAAGATTCATCAACATATTGGGTACATACAGGAGTGTTGACGTGCTCCATGGGAAACGTGCTAGTACCATTAATCCTTCATCCCTTGAGAGTGTGCAACCTGCATTGCCCTCGATCCAAACCCCCTAACCATTCCAACCATGTGGTCCCTGGGTCAGCTTCTTCTCCGAAGCACATGAGAGAATCAGTATCTACCTCCACCTTTTGCACGTGACCTGCCGCATGGGTAGAAGGCTCTGCAGGACATGCATTGGACTTATCAGCCTTCTCAGAACCTATCAAACCAGAGTGAACACCAATCAACCTCAATCCCAGGGACTACATAATAAGAAGTAGGCAAATGTCTGAGCATCCTAGGGTAACAGGGAAGGGTTAAAGTTCATCTGGGTGTCAGATTCCCTTTCTCTCTTGCTCTGAGTGCAAAAAGCTCAAAGATTGAGCAAGGCACTTTAAGTTAGAAAATAACTAATTAAATTTGACATCAAACCAAGCACTCAATTCTGGTAAAACCTAATAGCTTTCCTTGCAACCAGCTTCTAGTGAGTAAAGACATGAAGACCAGATTGTTGTGGGATGGTGGTGAGGAATACCTTCCAGCACTACCCTGAGCTGCTATTCCGTGTGGTTCTCTGAATTGAATGGCTGCTTTGTGTGGCATCCTTTAAAGTCTACTTCTTTGGCCGTAAGGCCATACCTGGGCCCTTTTAAACACTAGAGAATGTGTTATCGCTTTGTAAGCTGTGCATGTTTATCTCGGACTGTCATTCTTGTTTCTTATCAATTATTCGGGTTGTGTTCCCTCTCAGACTCCAGGCAGACTTCCAATGTCATTAAACACTTATTTGTCCTAAAAGGGATGGATATTTAACAGAGACCATCATGTATGTACCTTGATTACGGTCAAGCTGACTGATCTCAATTTAGCCAGTGCGTTCTTTGGCCAAGTCATCATTACTTCAGATATGTGTTAAATGCAAATCAATTTGGACAAATCCAAAATCCTTCAGCGGTTACTGTTGTTTGTTGATTGTCCAGAGGCTGTTAGGCTAACATGGGGTCTATCAGGTTTGATTAATGTCGATCATTTCCTGCTGATTGTTCAGCTTGTGCTCTCCAAGAGTAGGTGAGGGGGACCAGGAGCTAAAGGCGTTGGTTCCCCAGCAAGGTGTAGCATCTTCAGGCAGGGAGAGAGAGAGAACCTCCCCAGGCTGTACATGGGGAGTTGGGGGATGGTATTTTCCTCCTCATCCCCTGAACAAACATAAAGCGTCACTGGGAGAGATTGACAGTGCTTAGCTTGTGTTTGGATTGATTGAAGTAATTAAATCAGGTACAAAGGGCTAAATGTGATGGAATGGCAAATATCTATCCTTCACTTGACCGCTTTCCCAGTGAGGGTTTGACATGGAATCCTGACGCACATGTTAGCCTGTAACGAGTACAGAGAGTGCAGCAACACCGTGACCTCCCTAGTGTGCAATTAATGTGCAATCAAACATTGTGGAGTCTTTGTTTCTCTTTTGTTCTAATTAATGTTCGCAAAAGATAAAGAACTGACAATCTTGTTTCCTTTCCAAACTGAGTTGAATGCTTTGATTTGAAAGCCAGCGCAGTGCAGGGGGTTGGACTGCGGCCTGTGGAGGGGTTGATTGCATGCTGCAGAACCTTTTTGAGCTCCAATGTCACTGGCAAAACAGCTTCTTGTTTCTCAGATTCTTGGTGTCTTTGCAGTAAAAAGGTAAATAAATCTCAAACTGAACCGAGCATTGCTGGTATTTGTACAGTATGTTGTACCTGGGAAAGACTGGTGCAGGGAGCTCTGGGCTTTGCTTTGTGCTCCGTGGGTGGTGAGGGGTTTTGGGGGTGATGGATCTCGATTGTTGACAGTGGCAGTCAACAAAGCTATCGGCTTTCCGGTTCATTTGGAATGTTTTATGTGAACCAATTCTCAAAACGTGGAAGGTTGATGCCTGTGGATCTAGAAAATTATGTTGTCCAGCCAGCATATTGAAATGATTCCAAAGCCTTGCTTCAAGTAGCCTGTCCCAAAATTAGTGTTGCATCAGCTGTTAAATATTGCTGCTATAAAATCCTTTTGCAGGTTTGACCAGGCACTAGTTCTAATCACGGATTTGACATTTTACACTTGTTTCTTTTCCTCCTTGTTTCTGATCTACCACTCTGCCAACTTGTCCGGAAATTAAACAGATTGGTTTTGAAAGGGTTAAAATAACAGAGGCCAGTGCTTAATCTGCTGTTCTTAGTCAGTTATTGTCACTCATGTCACAGCTCCAAAGCGTGAAAAGGTGAGTGACAATTGGCATTTCAACATTTTATTCTAGTAACTGGACTGACTAAAAGTGGAGTGATCCAAAATGCCACAGAGTTCAAGTGAGCTACAAACTTTCAGACAATGTGTTTTCACTAGGGACTTTGGCATAGTGGAAGAAAGTTTGAGATCATTGCATCTTGCTGGTGAAGAATTAGCCCTTTCCCAGTGATTGTAATCCTCAACAATCGAAATTGGCTGCTTATGTTTAGCCTGGTGCTGTGCTTAACTCATCAGACAGATTGACCAAGACGATGAAGTGAAAATTACTCTCCATTGCTCTCAATCCTTCCTTCCCTGCTGTCCCATATTGGCCACCCAGGAAACACAAAGTGGCATTTACTGCTTTGACAGCCTCATACTGTTTGTGACGAATCATACCAGTAAAATGGAGTCGCAATGCTCAATAGGGATGTCATTGCCTCCAAACGAGAGCAACAAGCGACCCAGCCAGCTCGAGTACCAGTCTGCTTCCGGTTTTAACCCTTTTCAAATGTGGGTCAAATACCTTTTTTCTAAAATAAAATGTATTAATTGTCTTACGAGGGATTTTTAACTCTCTTTTTCTTTTGCTATCAGAGAATGAACACATTCCTTTGCAGTTTTGTTTTTCGAGATTAGTTGCATCCATTCCCGGGTGACTGCATGGTATTTGGGGGGAGGGAGGGGCGCTTTGCACCAGGAGATGCCTGTTTCCTTGCCCCTACTGCCATTGGTACCATGCTGTAAATCTCTGGCTGGCACTTGTTCTGTCGGGAAAATAATACCTGTTTTTTTTTATTCTGTGGCCATGTCACACCCCCCACTTTCTGTGGCCCTTCCCAATGAATGGACTAATGACTGCTGGAGCCTTGTCTTCAAGCCCAAGAGAGTTAAGAATCCCTGTGTAAGTCATTCTGTGTCTTCAATAAATGAATGTATCTTGTTTGACATAATTTATGGTTGGATAATTTTCTTTTTTGTTTGAAAAATAAATTCTGCCCTCTGACATTTTGTTTGGGTGTTTAATGGCTCATTGACTTGTGTTGTTCATTTGCCAGTTCAGTCTGTGTTGAAGGTCTGTCCTTCAGCACTGAGTTTTGTCCTCTTCCGATTCCTCGATGGCCTTGCCCTTCACCTAATCCCTGAAACCAGTCTGATGTCTCGTCCTTCTCATAAGTGGACCTAAGGCTGATGGTGAGCCAGGAGCCAAGAACAGAAAATGCTCTTTGACAGTAACTTTATTTTTGTGAATTTGGACTGGCAGCTCTGACCACACCCCAATTGTCCCACCTGGCCCTTTTTTTTTCACTCGCTTGCACGCTCTCTGCCTCGCACGCGCCGCTGTCTCTCTCTGTCTCCCTCCCTGTCTAGTACGCATGTGCCACTCTCTCTTTCTCTCTTGCCGTTGCACACGCGCCGCTCGCTGTCTCTCTCTCTTGGTCTCTCTCTCACGCACGCTGCTCTCTCTCTCTTGTGCATGCACTGCTTTTTCTCTGTCTCTCTCTCACTCTCTCTCACTCTGTCTCTCGCGCTCTCTATCTCTTGCATGCGTGCCCCTCTCTGTCTGTCTTTCGCTTTCACGCATGCACCGCTCACACTGTCGCTTGCTCTCTCGCTCAAGCTCTCCATTGTCACTTCAGCCTTGAACCATGGAATTAGCTTGACATCAGTCAATTTCCCTCATTGCTTGAAATTAAACATGATCACAAAATCTTTCAAAGACCAAATCAGTACGTGATCATTTGTCGCATGGGGAATCGTGTATATACATAAGGATGTAGTGCTTCCTTTATACAGGTCATTGATGCATAGTTGTAACTGTTGTAACTGTTAGTTTAGTGAATGGCAGTTTAGTGAATATTTACAAGACTACTATATGGAATGGGTGTTTTGTCTTCTGAAGATAGGTTAGGTTTATATCTGCTGGAACATGTGGTGGCCTCTTGATTGAAATGGCTAAGATTCTGAGGGGTCTTGACCAAGTGGATGTGGAAAGAATGTTTCCTCTTATAGAGGATTCCAGTATAAGGGTTGTTGAGTCTTTAGAACTCTTTTCCTATACAGACAGTGGAAGCAGTCCCCTTGAACATGTTTGAGACTGATGCGGAGAGATTGTTGATAAGCAAGGTTATCTGTGGTAGTTAGGAATGTGGACTGAGGATTACACCAGATCATTCGTTGAAAGGCAGAGCAGACCCGAGAGGCCAAATGATCTACGCCTGCTCCAAACACAAATGTTTGTTTTTGGAGAAAGAGACAAGTTGGTATTTCCTGATGAAGGGGAGGATGAGGTCAAGGCAATTCAGTGACAGAGCAAGAGAGAAAGTAACAGACTCAGGCTGATCAGAATGTGGGTGGCATTATTCAGTATAAATACTGATTTAATGCCCCAAACCTCATCAGGACGTGAAGCTCCGGACCAGACTGCAACTCGTCTATGTTTGTTTGCAAGGATGGCTTTGAGGCTGTGACAGGGGGAAGTCGGATGTGGCAGCATTGGAGGGGAAAGAGTGTCAACTCCTGAGTTGAAGGGAGGGAGTGGGAATGGTGGATGCTTCATCAGACTCCACTAGAGAGGGAGAGAGCAGCCAGGTATCAGTGGTGGAGGAGATCTTGGAGCTGGTGTGGGAACGAGACAGCAAGTGATCGACTAGCAAGGGCATGAGATGCCTTCCAGCATATCAGACCCAACCTTTCCACTCGGCAAGAGACTGATCATGCGTAGAGTCGATAACATTTATGTTATCGTGTATCAAACATCACTCCAGATAACCGTCACTGAACCAGGTTTTATCTATCCCTCCTGTTGGAAGGCTGACTTTGTCAAATCATTGTTGGAAAAGATAGGGGCTGTTTCCAAAAATATACTTTGCAGCAAACCTGACAATTGTCTGAATATTTACATTGTACATTCCAGGCAAAACATTTCAAATGAAAAATTACAGAGTGCAAGAGAACACAATTTTTCTCCAGACAACATTCCACTCTGACGTGCCTCAAGATTTCAGTACTGTGTTGATAATGTACATTCCTGGTCAGATACAGCGAGGTTCTCTTCTTCTCAGTTCCTTGGTACACTAGGGTTGAAAGGCCCAAGAAAGCAATCTTTCCCCTCTGTCCCACTGGAAAGGTTTTAGTGAGAGTGTTTGCTCGCAATAGCATGGGGAGATACCAGTGTGCCCTTCCACGACGTGGAACCCTTCGCCTCCATGCTGCCAACTTCAATAAAGACTCTCAACCACCTTCCAGGGACCTTTCTCCTGCCTCCAACCTTCCTTCTCCTCTCGGACACCCCGTGCTGGCCTCTTACCTGCCCTGGACCTCTTCGTTGCTCACTGCCAATGCGACATTGATTGCCTCGCCCACTCCAATCTCTCCTTTTCCAAACATGCAGCACTCCACTCTCTCTGCACCAATCCCTGTTTCACCATCAAACCCGCTGACAAAATGTCTGGTGGTGGTAGTGTGGACTATGGACCTCTATGTCACAGAGGCCGATCGCTAACTCTCCGACACTATGTCCTACCTCCCTGTTGACCACGACCCCACCATGGCCCATCAAGCCTCTGTGTCCCACACTGTCCATCACCTTGTCACTTCTGGTGACCTCCCCTCCGTTGCCTCCAGCCTTATAGTCCCCCAGCCCCGCACTACCCGGTTCTACCTGCTCCCCAAGATCCACAAGCCCAACTAACCCGGCCGACCCATCGTCTCCGCATGCTCCTGCCCCAGCGAACTCATCTCATCCTATCACCACTCCATTCTCTTCCCCCTTGTTCCAGGCACTCCCACTTACATCCGGGACACAAACCACGCCCTCCATCTCTTTGGAAAATTCCAGTTCCCTGGCCCCTAGTGCTTCATCTTTACTATGGATGTGCAATCCCTACACACGTCCAGACCCCACAAGGACGGCCTAGAGGCCCTCAGTCTTTTCCTCTCCAACAGACTCATCCAGTTCCCCCCCTCCACCCCCAACAGTACCCTCTTCCACCTCGCTGAAGTAGTCCTCACCCTCAATAACTTTTTCTTCAATTCTTCCCACTTTCTCCAAATCCAGGGGGTGGCCATGGGCCCCAGCTGCGCCTGCCTGTTTGTCGGTTATGTCAAACAGTCCCCCTTCAGTACGTACACCGGTACCGTTCCCCAACTCTTCCACCGTTACATCAATCACTGCATTGGTGCTGCATCCTGCACCCAGGCTGAACTGGAGCAGTTCATCGACTTCGCTAACAACTTCCACCCCACCCTCAAATTCACTTGGTCTGTCCCAGACACCTCCTTCCCCTTTTTTGGCTTCTCCATTTCCATTTCTGGTGACGGTTTATGGACTGACATTTACTATAAACCCACAGACTCCCATAGCTACCTAGACTACACCTCCTCCCACTCTGTATCCTGCGAAAACTCCATCCCGTTTTCCCCATTCCTTCATCTCTGGCACATCTGCTCTGATGAGGAGACATTCCACTCGCAATCCGGATGTCCACCTTTTACAAACAATGTTCTTTTTCCCCCCTCTGTCATCCAGACAGCCCTCCACCGCGCCTGCTCCGAGCTCTTAACCACTCCCCTCCCTCCAAACATAGTAAGATAGGGTCCCCTGTGTCCTCACTTTCCACCCCACCAGCCTCTGCATCCAATGCATCATCCTCAAACACTTCCGCCAACTCCAAATAGACCCCACCACCCCTCTCTGCCTTCCACAAGGACCACTGCCTTCGCCGCTGATTAGTTCATGCCACACTCCCCACCAACCATTCCAACCCGCCCGGTACCTTCCCCTGTAACCGTAAAAGATGCAACACCTGCCCATGCACCACCTCCCTCACCTCCATCCAGGGCCCTAAACAGTCCTTCCAGGTGAGACAGAGCTTCACCTGCATCTCCTCCAACCTAGTCTATTGCATCTGGTGCTCCCGATATGGCCTTCTCTACATCGGTGAGATCAAACATAGACTAGGTGACTGTTTCGCCAAGCATCTTCGCCTGGCCCATAATGTCCAACCTAACCACCTGGTCACCGCCCATTTCAACTCACCGCCCCACTCCGCATCTGCTCCCCCTCCGACATATCCGTCCTCGGCCTCCTCCAGTGTCGCAGCGACTCGGAACGCAAATTTGAAGAACCGCACCTTATCTTCTGCCTGGGCACCTTACAGCCCGGAGGACTCAACATTGAGTTCTCCAATTTCAAATAACCTTCCCACCCATCCCCCTGCTCCCTTCCCAGCCCCAACTCCTCCCTTATAGCCACCAACCAAATTCATCCCTCCCATTGACCAACCAAGTCATACCTACTACCAGTGTCTACCTATCACCACCTTTCTACTACCCCCAACTCCCCCCACTTTATCTGCAGCTCCCTCTACCCCCACGTCTAGTCCTGAAGAAGGGTAATACCCGAAACATTGATTTCTCCTTTCCTGCAGATGCTGTGTTCTTCCAGCCTCCCGTTTGTAACCTTGGTCTTTTGAAGGGATCTGCTTCCCTGAAACACTCCCCAGCTGAACAGCACTGTTCTTTTTTTTAAAGTATAAATGTGTCAGACCAGTACCCTCATGGCCGAGCATATCCCCCACTCAACCATTACCATCAAGCCAGGGGATCAACCCTGGTTCAATGGAGAGTGCAGGAGGGCATGCCAGGAGAAGTGCCAGGCATACCTGAAGATGAGGTATCAACCTGGTGAAGCCACCAAACAGGACTACTTGCACGCCGAACAGCGAAAGCAGTGAGTGATAGACAGAGCTAAGCGATCCCACAACCAGCGGATCAGATCTAAGCTCTGCAATCCTGCCACATCCAGTTGTGAATGGTGGTGGACAATTAAACAATGCACTGGGGGAGGAATCTCCACAAATATCCCCATCCTCAATGATGGAAGAGCCCAGCACATCAGTGCAAAAGATAAGGCTGAAGCATTCGCAGCAATCTTCAGCCAGAAGTGCCGAGTGGATGATCCATCTCGGCCTCCTCCAGTGTTCCCCAAGCATTACAGATACC